ATAAAGGGTTTGGGTTTTCTGCGCCCTTTCTAGCTACCAAATAATGGCACGGAGACCAATTACATTTGTTAGTAAGCTTCAAGCACTATAATTGGGCAGCTCTTGAGCTATTTTAACTTATCCACGCTAATCTGGACTACTTCCCAGCCATTTGCCCTGTTATCTGCCATCTTAATCTTGCCCTGGCTGCTCCTGCTCTATCTGTGTCCTCATATCAACTCTCTTACTGCCACCTACTCATGGCAGCTTTCTCCTCTGTCCCCCACCTGGGACCCTCCTCCTGGGATTGCAAGTCCCATCTTAGTTCTCCTGCCCCACTGTAGTTTGTTCAGCTCTTTATTAACCTGTCAGAGATGATAGGGAACAATTTTTACACAACATAAACCAAGAGATGCTTTAATAATAATGACAGTGCCCACATCTGGACTCATCCAGATCTGTGGATACAGAAGCCACCATGTGAACACACAGTGCACAAAACCATCCCCAACAGAAAACCCCAAGCCAACCTCCAAAGCAGCATCCTTGTCATCAGTACCGAATTGTGTATGGTTTAACTGAATAAAAGTAATGTCAGAACAATTATTATATACAGTTGAACCAGGATGCAGCATTACTGCATATACCTGTGGTATATAGCTGAATTGAGGAAGCAGCCTAAGCTAATGTGGGTAAGAGCAGTCTCTGTATATGGCCACGCTTAAGGCCATGAACATGAGGCTGTAGGGGAAGCTAGCTTGGATAGTTTCTGTACAATATCAGCACTATCAATACACTTGAACCAGAACAGAAAGCTTTGCTCTTCCCCTGAGCCTGTCCTATGGAAGGTTTTGCCATTTTCATGGGTCTAAGGCATTGGTGGGGACCTTAACATAGCTTTTCTGATGTTTTTTGTTGTTTTGGGTCTGTGGGTCTTTCGTAGCCAAGGAGAGCCTTGAACTCCTGATCCTTCTGCATCCGACTCCTAAGTGCTGGATTACAGGTGTGTGCCCCTCCTGGGTTGGTAACAACCTTGATCCTGATTCTGTAAGAACTGTATCTTCATGATTTTGAGCATCTGCTGCATTGTTTCCCATAGCAGCTGTGCCATTTTGCATTATTCTTGCAATGTACAAGAATATACTGGGTCTTCCATGCCCTGTATCCTCATCTGCACTGGTCTTTGTTTCTGTGGCCATCCTTCTGCCTGTGTCACCCTAGTGCTGGGATTATAGGCATGTGTTCCCAGTTTATGCAGTGTTGGAGATTGAACCCAGGTCTGCACGAAGGTAGAGCGATCACTTTACCAGCTGAACCACATTCCCATATTCTTCATTCTTTCACCATCACAATGTGATACCCTTACTGAAGGTGTTGGTAATAAACAAGAACTTATTTGCATGCATGTGTAAGGACCCATGTATTTTCAAACTAAAGTCCTTCCCTATAGTTGAGATGGATGTACTTGCTAAGAGCAGTCTGTTATTCAAGAACGTGACACAGAAGACTTAGTAGGATTAACCAGTGAGAGTCACTAGTAGGGAGTGATTAAACTTGTCCTCTGGCTCTTGGCCTATTTTGTGTTTGTTGGTCCAGTAGTTACAGAATAGGGCAGGTGGTATGGATGTGTTTTCTATTTCTCAAGTTTGTGGGCTTTCTGTGGAAAATTTGAGAAGCTCTTTGTGGAGGGGGTAGGGAATATAGACTTAGTTTCTGCTCCAAAATACAGTAGAATTTAACATGCAGCTCTGGCTGATTTTCCAAGGGATTAAGATAGCGCAGAGTTTGGAAGCCTGGTTGAGTTTTAGCACCTTAGATCCTTTGCTAGAACCTGGCTGGGAATGAGTGGGCTTGTGCTTAGCACAGTGTCAGAGCCATGCCCTGGGACACAGGATTAAAAACAGAATGCAGCTCTTTATGGATATCTTATAAGGTTATATTTTGTTGGTTACAAATGAATTATATAAAATATAAATTACACACGTATTTAAATACTTAGAAAAATAAAGCTCAGGAAAATTTGGGATTTACATATATTTGTTTTGGTACAATAATAGCTGTTTACTGCTGTCGTTATTCTTGTGCTACATAAACTCTACCTTCTCTGTCCTACATAAATGAAAGTTTGTTTAGAAATTGATCAGTCATCGACAGACCACTCTTGTATTGATGACATGTTTTTAAAAGGTGACCAATATAATATCTATACATTAGATAATATCAGAACATGTTTCTTTAGTCAGTTCGAACCAAACTTTGTGATTGTGTAAAAGAGCAATTGTTTATTAAAGTTATCTTTTAACCAAATTTGTTTTATTTAACATTCAAATAAATTTTTAATTGAAAGTACTTTATTGTTATTGTATGAGAGAAAGTCAGCACATGCTGTCTTGGCACAGAGCTCAAGTACTGCGATACGTGTAGGGTCAGAGGACAAGGGTGCCAAGTGGTCTCCCTCCTGCCAAGTCAGGCAGGCCACCAGACGTGCACAGCTAGTCGTTTCACTTTCCGAATGATTTTGCCAGTGCTCAGCTTTTATTGTTTAATTTTTGTTCTTTTGAGACTGGGTCTCTGTGCAGCCCTGGCTGTCCTGTAACTCACTATGTAGACCAGGCTGGTCTCAAACTCACAGAGATCTGCTGGGTGCGGGCATTAAAGGCGTGGGCCATCACGCCTGCCTCAATATTTTTTAGGGCATTATTATAAGAGTAGAGAAGTTAGATTTCTAGATTCTGACCATTGTGATTTTATCTGTTTTCTTTCTTTCTTTCTTTCTTTTTTTTTTTTTTTTTTAATATATTCTACATGAGAATTACTTGGGGTAGAAATAGCATTTTGAAATACCTTAAAATAAAAAAATTGAGAATTACAAAGTAAAAAATTGTATTACCTTAGTTCTTTATTACCTTAGTTCTTTATTTTGATATATATGATTTATCTACATATATTTCGATATGTCTAGATCTGCAAGTATGTGTTCCCCTCATAGTGCCATGGGATCTCTGTACTATACACATCAAACCATTTCAGGTCATGCAGCACTTAATAATTGAGTATATTTCATTACTGACCTTTCCCAAAGGAAAAAAAAAATTACATTTAATAAAATGGCACTAAAACTCAAAAGATAAATGGGTTTGTTTTCTGTTTCAGAAGGTATAGAGCCTTTATTTCTTTACCCAGATACTCTGTTCTGAACACCTGCTTTATTGTTAATGTCAAAGGCATATCAAAGAGAATAGCTAGTAGACTACTTTTGAAATAAACAATAAATGTTATCAGTAAATCTTTCAGTCTGTTTTTCAAAAAGATAATCAGACTCCAGCTTGTGTGTTGTATTGACTTTTAGCTAGTGCCTTTGAGGATATAAATTCACTTTATATAGGTACCTCTTAGGTGTTGGCTGGTTGCTCTTTGCACAGCTCAGGCTTCCTTCCCTTAGAGTTTTATTCTTTGTGTCCACAAGGGGGCAGATAAAGGAAGAGAGAAAAGCTTAATGAGCCTGTTCAGAGTTTTACTTTTATTAGTCAGAATAGCAGGAGTTTGGGGATGACAGAAAGAAGAAACAGTGATTTCCTTTCTTAGTATAATTCAACCCTTCCGACCCCACTTCAGAGACAAAAGCATTTTCACAAGCAACCCTCTTTTAAAGAATGATTTCCAAAGCTGGGCTTGGTGGTGCATGCTTGTAATCCCAGCACTTGGGGAGGCAGAGGCAGGGAGATCACTGAGTTTGAGGACAGTCAAGGCTACACAGAGAAACCCTGTCTTGAACCCCCCCCCCCAAAAAAAAAAAAGTTTTCCAAAGCGTTGGTACAGCCTTCAAGTTTTTTCTGTAAATAATTTCTCTCTAAAAATGAGTTGGATTTAAGAAAATGTTAGCATTTGAATATATGCCTGATTTTTGCAGTGTCATCTTAGATACCTCTATTAAGATTTCTCATTGCCTAGATCAACATTTGCTTCTCAAAGAAGCAACATTTCCATTCCAGGCAGCCTTCTCGTTTCGTAAAGCCTCAGTTACTGTGACAGTGCCATTGTGTGGAGCACATTCATCATCATCTACAAATACATGGATATGATTGTTAATTTATTTACAGCAAATTTATTCTGTTTTAAGCATATTTGATATCGAATACCTCACCACCTCATATACTGTTTAAGTCTGGAGAATTTTACTTAATATGCGCATGTGTGTGTGTGCATTGGTGTACATGTGTATGTGTATATGTCTGTGTAGTGGACAGAGGACAATGTTAGAAGTCATTCCTTGGGAGCTATCCATACTGTTTTTGAGACAGGGTCTCATTGTCCTAGAACTAAGTGGCTTTCTGGCCGACTAGTATGTCCTGGGGATCCAGGCCTTTCTGCCTCTCTTAAACCTATGGGAATTTTAAGTAAACGTGTTTTCTGTCAACTGCTTAATCCTTTGTTTTGACTTGGTGTTAGACTACTCTGACCTCAGGGTTTTGGGGAGTTGGGGTTGTTTTATTGTTGTGTTTTGTTTTTTTTTTTTTCCCCAGTATGGGTCATAGTTGGTCTTTCATGTTCTTTTCCTGTGAACATATTTTTTTTTGGAAAGCTTTTTTTCCTATAATCTATATGAGGCACATTTTGTGTATATGATTTTAGCTGTTTAAGACATTGGGTGAAGTAATGGGGCACATTTTCAGAAATTAATTCTTTGTGTTTAGATTCTGGTGTCTGTTTTTAAGTCGTGTTTTTTTTTTTTTTTTCCTTCTGTTGCTCTCTTAAGGTCTCTAATGTCAAGATTTCTATATCCCCACAGTGTGACATACACAATGACTGAAACCATTATGTTACATTCCTATAACATTCTTTTTTTTCAGCACTTAATGCCTTTTATTCCTTAGCTTCATGCATGAATTATGTAGCATATGTGAAGAGGCTTAAACTGTTTCCATTGCATTCTTTCTTGCTGGCTGCTGTTATATTTAGGGTATACTTATAGTTTAGACAAAGTAAGAATGTTATTGTTGTTGACCTTGACACTAGATAACTGGGCAGACATTATATAGCTATGTTTGAATCCTCACAAAATGTGCTGTTGAAGCCAACAGAGTCCTGGCGGGAGACTCTTCTGGACAGCAGAGTTATGGAGCTTTTCTTCACAGTAAGTCCTAGTCCTCAGCTCTGGTAGCAAGGGACGTGGTGAGAGGAAATGCCTTTGTGTTTCTTAAGTAAAACAAAACAGATTTCTACTTTTCAACGTTGGTGTCTCTTCTCACTAACTGACCCAAGAATTATATGACAATGTTCTCACTACCGTACAAATACTGTCTCATTAATAAAGGGCTTAGATGCTGCAACAGTACTTCTTAGGCCTTATCATCACCAGACTCCTGTACATTCCTAATTGAGAACTTTGTACTAGTTCTTGTTTGTGTGGGTTACATAGCTACTGTTACCTAATACAGTGTTATCCCGTTACAAATTCAAGCTCATAGACACAGAAGAAGATAATGGCACGAGTTTTGGTCTTTGTCTAAAACATAGCATGTTCGTCCTTCCTTCCTTCTGTTCTCCCCTCCACCCCTCTTCTCTCTCTCCTTCTCTTTCTTTCGCTTTCTCTTTCTTCCTCTCTTTCTCTTATTCTCTTTTTCTTTCTCTCTTTCTTTCGTTTTTCTGTTTTGTTTGTTTTGTTTTTTAAGTCCTGAACTTGGCTCTGTAGAGCAGGCTGGCCTTGCTGAACCTCACAGCAGTGCTCCACCTCTGCTTCTGCTGGGATTACAGGCATGTGCCACCACAGCATCTTCTTAACGTAAAAAGTAAATTGAAAAGTTCAGACTGAGAACTTTAAAAATATTAACAAGATACTGCTGTATCATAATATAAATGACCTCAATGAACAAATACTTTGGAAACAAGGGTAGTGAAAATAAAACTACCATAAACGGGTTTTGGTTTTGTTTGCTTTGTATTTTTGCAAATCTCTCTAGCATCTAGTTTAATAAAAGACAAACAGATTTTCCTGTTTTTTTTTTTATTTTCTTATTTTTAATTATACTTTATTTACTTTGTATCCCCCTTCTAGTTCCCTCCCTCCTCCCTTCCCAATCCCTCCCTTCCTCTCTTCTCCACACACTCTCCTCCCCAAGTCAAGTGGGTTCCATAGTAATAGGAACAGGGACTGCTTCTGACATGAACTGATTGGCCTGCTCTTTGTTCACCGACCCCTGAGGGGGGAGCAGCCTTACCAGGCCACAGAGGAAGACAGTGTGGCCACTCCTGATGAGACCTAACAGACTAGGATCAGAAGGAAGAAAAAGAAACCCTCCCCTACCAGATTTTCCTGTTTTATATTTCATTCAGTTGGTATTGTTTAAAATACCAACATTGTTGGTATTTCACATTGTTTAAAATGTGAGCCTCAGAAAAATCCTCTGTGAGCGTGTATGCAGCACATAAGAAAAAAGAGAGGTGGTTAGTACTCTTATGGACATGGTATGCAGTGGCTTAGCTTGAGGGATCCCTGAACTATGTTTTGAGAACTGTTCCCCTAGTGGACTATACTCACAAGACTTGAGCTAAGTTAATATTTAAAAGCAATTTATCTTAAACATTTCAATTATAACTTAAAAAAAAAGGCCTCGTAGTATCAACTAGCTACAGGAAGCCAGCAGTTTATTCCCACATGTGCCAGTGAGTTTTAGAATTAAAATATATGTGTGTATTGGGCATTAATTTGCAGTTACAGAATAGGTGTATAGTTAGATCAATGACTTGTACAAAATAAAAATCAATAAAATCTAGGTAAATACCAATTAGAAAGAAAATAATAAGACATTTTTATTTTTAATGTATGAGTGCTCTATCTGCATGTACACCTGCATGCCAGAAGAGAGCACCACCCTTTATAGATGGTGGTAAGCCATTATGTGGGTGCTAGGAATTGAACTCAGGACCTCTGGAACAACAGCCAATGCTCTTAAACCCTGAGCCATCTCACCAGCCCAGAAAAAGACACTTTTGTTTAATCTGAATCACTATAGTTTATCTTTTCATGTATTTTGAAGTATGAATGAGCCTTTTGTGATTGAACCATTTAAAATATTTCAGTAGTGTGATATCTGTTTTAAAACGTCCAAAACATGTTTGTTCATCCTTGGGCATACACAGAAAATGCTTTTTCTGCTGTAGTGGCTTGTTTTGGAGTTCTGGAGATTGTACCCAGGGTCTTGTGTGTACCTTTAAGCACTGTGCCACTATGCCTTGTCATGCCCTTTATAAAAGATGTTTCCTATGGAAATGTTCAATCTACGCATTAATCACCTTATAGTTTCCTTTTTAAAATCAGAGAAAAAAATTTGAAAACATAACCAAGATCCAGTGGTACTTGCAATTAAATTTTAAGGACTTTGTGGGCCACCTCATCTAACAGGAATTATTTTGATGAGTTCAAGTTGACTTCTTTGTATTTGCTGAACAGAAAGTAGGCCTCCCTCCAGCAGTTTGTGAATAGGTGAAAAACTTGCTGGCCTGCTGCAAAAACTCCACTGGGTCTGAACAGCTGTCTAGATAAATCAGACAGCTGCTCCTGTCAGCTGTGAACTACCACATGCAAATAACTTTGAATTCAAAAGTTAACCCTTTTCTATTTTGTCATTTTAGTAGTTTGAGTGTAGCTCTTTGCATTTTAAACAATTTTAATTTGTTGCAAAAAAACACGATTTAATCTTTCCATTTTAGTTTTGCTAAATATATTGTCACTTATTAGATATCATTATTTTGCTAATTTCAGTAGATAAATATACTGTTGCACAGAGTGAAGACTTGAATTTATTGACCATGTCTAAAACTTAAGATGATTTTGATTGCATCGCTCCTCAGAAGTTTGCAAAGTTGTCAAGTTTTTCTTTTCCTCCTACTCTCTTAGACAACACTTTTCCTGATTGTGACTCTGGTATTTTGCCCTCTGTGTGGTTAGTAGCTTTCTTCGCTCTGTGCTTTGCTATCTCTTCATACTCCACACTCTCCTTACCTCATAATCTGCATGCTTACTGGCTATTCCTATGTTGTTGGCACACTGACATCTGTTGTTTAAGCACATCAGACTTAAGCAGAAGTCTGTCCTTGGTGACTTGTGCCTTCTATATGCCTATTCGTTGAATGGCCTCTCCGTTTGTCTTCCTGGGTGTCCATCTAGACTTGATCTCTCCTCTCGTTGCTCCCTTTGTATACAGAGGTGGTAGATCAGTTTTTTACTTGTTTGGTACCATTTAGATTGAAGTCCATGCTTGATTACGAGGGAATGTTTTCATAGTGCTAAAACGAGTAGACCATAAAACTGTATCCGAATAATTATGTGTTTAACATGAGTTTTATGTGGCCCCTATTTCAGGAAGCAAATTAACCGTTCGTATCAGGAGAGTTATTTTTATTTTATTTTAAATTGTCAACACTAGTTCTTTCATTAAGCACATTTTTTTCTTTTGTATCTGTCTTCATGCTGGTTCAGGAATGGTCACCAGGCTCCTGTGTGGAGCAGATTATGTGACAAGTTTCTTTTGTCCCACCCTGAACTCTATATGTTGGTAGAATCTGGCCCTGGGCATCTCAGTGAACTTTTGATTAGGATTCAGAGCACAGACACAGATTTATTTATTTATTTATTTTTATTTTTATTTTATTTTTTTTTAAGATAAAGAGCTTAAAAGAATATATTCAAGAGTATGCAACCAAGACGTACATAGGATTATGTGTGTTATATTTTGAATTTACTGTGTAAAGCTTAAAATACATTTGTTTATAGGTTGGAAAGTATTTTTGTTCTAGACCAGGGATTGGCAAGCTCTTTCTATGTGCTCTTAGGGCCCACAGTGAATATTATAGACTCTGTATATAATATGGTCATACTCAACTCTGTCAGTGTAGTGAGGAATCCCAAATTCAAAATAAACAATCAAGACAAGCTAGTAGTCTAGTAAAATTTTGTTGATGGTTGTTAAAATTGAGAACTTTGTATAATCTTTGATATTTTTTTTCTCTGAACTGTGAAAACACGAGAAAAACCTAACCTCTACATCCACCCAGACATATATAGGCAGCCAAGTTTGGCCCATGGGTCAGTGGCTTGCCAACCCTTGTTCTGGATCAGAGTATAACATCTTAAGCCTATTCACAAGTCATTTAACTATATTTTTAGGGCTATTCTACTGGTTTAAATTTCTAAATTTGACCTTAAGAAGCCAAGAGGGGAAGGTTAGTGGAATCAGTTCTCAAGGATTTACAATGTTCACTGTGTCCCATACTGTACCAGTGAATGCATTTCAAAAACAAAACATTCTGGTTTCAAGTAATTCACAAATGACTGACAGAGTTGAAGACAGTGTAACCTGAAACAGAGAACAGTGGTTCAAAAAAGAGAGGGCTAGAGTGCTTCAGTTAAATGCCTGTGGGAACTAGCAGATGGCCAGTTGGACTTGGACATGAAGATGAATAGCCCCTTAATCATTTCTTCCTGGCATTTTCTGTTGTATTTTAATGTTAGATCGTAGAAGTGGAATCTTTAATATCTGAAAACTTAGTTGTACTGAAGTTAAGGAGCAATAGAACCTTTTCTTTAGAGAAAGCACTGTGTAGTGGATGAGTATCAGTATAACATCATTGAAATAAAATCTAGTTGCATAAATAGATTTATGTATTAGATACAAGTTTTATTTAAAAAAACATTTAGTATTAATAGGGATGATTTGGGTTAAAATGAAAGTCATACAGATCAGAGTGTCTCAGATTTTATGCATTTGCTCCCTGTCTGTAAATGGATGACGTTCAGGGATGGACAAGAGATACCTTTGTTGGTTTTCTAAGTGTGCAACTGTTCACTTCCTCTAAGGCAGCATCTATATACTGGATTGAACTTGTCTGCTAACTTTAGCAAGAAGCTGTGGCAAGGCATAGTTAGCATAATACAGATGACTGTCGTCGTTGCTGTTTTTAGCAGAAGCAGTATGTCTGACTGGCTAGCATCTGTTTTCTCTCCTTGTCGTAATATGCCGGAGACAGTTCAATTTTCAAAATGTAGGTAGCCCTCAGCTAAACGGTAACTGATATGTTTAAACTCATGGCCTATAATGTCAGTTGGACTGAAGGATGATTTTCGGGTTTAGTTTAACTGAGTTCTTTTCTAGAAATGACCAGCTACAGTGAATTTTTCTCTTACCTCATTTGACATGGTTCACACGTGACCCCTACAAAAGAAGAGTTTATTTTTATGGATTAGTAATTCTTTCTAACAGGTACATCGAAAAATCAGAGAAGATTCAGATATGGCACAGGATTCTCTGCAGTGCCTTGCCCAGTTAGCTTCTCTGCATGGACCCATCTTCCCCGATGAAGGATCCCAGGTTGATTATCTGGCACATTTCATTGAGGGTTTGCTGAGCACGATCAACGGGTAGGTATGCTCATCTTCAGAGCTGACAGGGAACCTTCCCTTTCCTGTGGTGATTAAAACGGAGGTGGGGGAAAACACTAAGGATTTCCAGCTTTTTCCTGTTCTCTGTACTGAAGTAGAACCATGTGGCTAATCTGAAATTAATACAGAGACAGGCCTTTAAGAGTGAATGGGTGTGATATTTTTGTGTGGAAATGTAGCTTGTCTGCTACTAATTACTTATCCTCATTCCTTGGTTTATAGAATTGAGATAGAAGACTCTGAAGCTGTGGGGATCTCCAGCATTATTAGCAATCTGATAACTGTGTTCCCTCGGAATGTTTTAACTGCCATCCCCAGTGAACTTTTCTCCTCCTTTGTTAACTGCCTCACACACCTCACTTGTTCTTTTGGGCGGAGTGCTGCGTTAGAAGAAGTGGTGAGTGACTGCTCTAAGATCCATCTCTGTCTGTGTCTCGTAGGAAGTTTGTGCTGCCTTTAGAGCTCTGTCTCATGACAAGCATTTTAACTGAGTACTAGTGGTTATTGTTAAAAGTTACATTTTTGTATGTAAAGTAGTGCAGAGTGTATGGAAACATTTCCTTTAAATTTTTGTGAATTTAAGTTAGCCTTGGAAATTATAATTTTGAGATAATTAGAATTAAATGTTTTGTTGAATAGCCCATTTTAACAGTATTTAACAAGCCTACCAAGTACTGCTAAATTATATATAATTAAATTTTATGTTATTGTAATACTTCTATTTATGACTTATTTGGAAATTATGTGATGTGTATTTAATGCTGTATTTTGGTAAACTGATTTATAGTCAGAGTAAGACTGGTAATACTAATGATTTTGGGGGCAGGTACAATTTTTCAGATGCTTTCCAATTTCTATCTTTAACTTCAGGAAATATTTATTAAAACCTTGACAACACAGATGCTTTGTAACAGTTACTGTTATAAATAACTACAGTGATCATTAGAAATAATTGACTTATTTCTACAAAGTGGTTACTTAATTGTTGAAATTGATTTTTCTTGTTATAAACTAAAAGGAGGTTAAAAAAAATCATGAGAGTGAAACACTATTTGTAGATACCTGTTGGAATTTCATGTTAAATCCTGAATTTAAGTCTTACTCTGGCAGTGTTTGGCAGTTGTAAAGCTTCTGAGCTGTTCAAAGAGTTAGGGATCTGGGAATGGTTGTGTTTCTATAATTAGGTGCTTTCAGGATTTAATGAGTGGATTTGAGCAGGGAGGACAGGGCTTTGTGTGGTGGGAAACTGCACCTTAGAGTAGTAGGTTTACAGGCATCGTACATGGAATTTGCATTTCTCAGGGTGGTAGTTTTTGTTCTAAACATGGAAGCCCATATTGAAGTTAAATGTCTCAGCTTAGGCAAAGCCCTTTCACAGGCTCAGACTCAAATGTGAGGTTTCATGTAACATGGCTTCATTGTGTTCCTCTTGGTTTTCCCCTTTTGGGCAAGGTGGATTCAGGATTTAGTATATTGGTCGCCTGTTTAGACATACAGCTACCTTAGGTTCTCTAAGAGGGCTCTAGATTTCGTGGACTGGCTAGAAGATATGTAATATTTTTGGTTTGAAGATTTTATCTTTGAAATTTATTTTGAGCAGGAGATTTTCTCTCAATTTGGTGTAAAAGTGTCAGAATACAAGAAGCTAAATCCACTTTCAAAGAAGCAGATGCTTCTTATGCCTCTCTCAGGAGGAGGCATGCTATGCTCAATGCTAGGATGTACCTAATGGGTTCTGCTGAAGAAAGTAGTTCTTTATGTTTTTTAGTTCTCTCTGTTTATCTGTTTATATTTGAGTTATTTCTAAAGGCAACTGGCTACTAATTATATAGGACAGAAAGAGTAAAGTTGTCTGAAGTTCTGCTGTGATTGTGGAGGCCACCTTAGGAAAGCCTGGGAAGGTTGACGGTTGAGGAAGAGTTAAAGGCCCTGTCATGGGGCCTGCATGAATACTGAACAGATTTCCTTAAAAGGCAGTAAAATCTCCGTGTTTTATCATCTAGGGAATGATGTGCATACTAGAGAATATTCAGCTCATAGCTGAAGGTCATAAACAAATCCAGCCAGGACAGATTGGATCTTCTTACTATGTCATCTTTTGTTTTCTTGGCTACTGGGTACCAGTTCATAGTTGTTGCCCTGAGATGGAAAACAAATAATCTTTAAGGAAATGTTGGGAAAAGTGAGCATATAAATAAATCATTCCACATGGTGTGGACTGATGATACATTTGGAGGGAGACAGTGATCATAAACATGGGCTGTTGGGTGATGTTTTCATCTGTGTTTGGTGTGTTTCCTCCTCAGTGAGATCAGACCAGGCTGGCAGTTTTTGTGGTGCTCCCCACCCTCCACTCGGCCTGTTTGTTTTATGGTGGGCTGGGATGAGTTTTGAGAGGGTCTAGATATGTAGCATTGGATCTCAGCCTATGTTTTCTGCCTCTGCTTCTACCACCGAGCACTGGGATAACAGATGTGCGCTGCCATACCTGGCTTTCTTCTGGTGTGAAAATGATTATTTGAGGCCAGTTTGTGCTCAGTGAGACAGACTGTCAAGAAAGGGACTTTTTAAAAAATGCGCTTTAAACTAGGGAGCAGAAAGCAGCGTTACTGGAGGAGATGATGGTGCAGTGTAACTGTCTGTTGTGGGTGACTGATTGAGAAGCCTCCCCAGCCCTTCCACCACCACCCTGTGTTTCTGATCGCTGAGAAGGCACACACTGAGGACATTGTAGCCCCTGCCCACTCTTCGTGCTTGCATTTCTTTAGCCTATGGAATTGTAGGAAAAGCTGGAGTGAAGCACCGAAATATTTTTTTAAACTTTGCATGTTGAAAGAGTATTTTTTTCCAAAGATAGTGATAATTTTGGCTCTATAAGAATATTTGGAAGAAAACTGGCAACTTTTGCATCTTAAATACAGATTATTATTTGAAAGTATTTTAAGATTGCAAAATTGGATATGGTGGTACACATCTTTAATCCCACACTTGGGAGGCAGATTGGTCCACAGAGTTCCAGGACAGCCAGTGCTACACAGATAAACCCTGTCTCAAACAAGAATAAAGAATTACTTGTCTTCTTTAACTCAGACTGGATCATAAATCTTACTATGCAGTGCTTTTTGATTTGGTGTGAATCAATTTTAATGCTTTACATGTTTGTAAGTCTTGGAAGACTGTATTGGAAGATTGGAAGTACTGAGCCATTAGAGTAAATCTTACTTACCTCACTGTCTCAGTGTTCTTTAGTAGGGTATTCATTGTTTTATTTTTCAATGTTTTATTTTTATTTGATGTATTGGTGTTTGCCTCTATGTATGCCTATGAGGGTATCAGATCCCTGAGAACTGGAGTTATAGGTAGTTGTGAGTTGCCAAGTGATTGTTGGAATTGAACCAGCTAGTTGAAAAGCAGCCAGTTCCCTTAACCACTGAGGTATCTCACTATCTCCTCTGTTTTTTTTTTTTTAGCCACATTTAAGTGAAGTGATACACACTAGAAAAGAATCTAAATACAACAGATGAATAATAACATAAAAAATATGGTTCTTAAGTCTTGGGTCTATCAGTGAGCTCATTGGTGTTATACTGTACAATACAAACATTGTTTGTGGTGTGTCATTTTGCATGGGGTTGTGCCACTACCTAAGTATTTTAAACATTGTGAAATATTTTATTTATACGATGTATACATTTTGTGTTTAAATATAAGGGTAATATATAGAGATACCAAGTGTGGCACAATGGTTCATGTTGGTAAATGCTAGCATTCAGAAGGCTAAGGCAGCACAATGGTAAGTTTGAGGTTAGTGAGGACTTCACAGCAAAGAAATAGTGTCTTGTTAGAGCCCCTTTCTTACCTATAGTTGGCTGTGGGGTGTGTATTTTTCCTTGCTCCCCTTCTGCTCCTGTGATCAGGTTTCTGTTACATAACTTGATTCTGCCAAATGATCCCTTTATCCCAGCTGGTGTACATGGCACTTTATTTTTCTCAGTCATGTGTGGTAATTAACTTTATTTTTATTCTCAAAGTTCTTATAGGCTGGAAATAGGAAATTCTGGAGTTCAGTAAAACTAAGGAACTCCCTAGAAATTCTCCTTATAAATAAAATTCTCTGTGAAATTAATTGTTCACATCAATTTTATTGCATTTTTGTGTGTGTGTGTGTGTGTGTGTGTGTGTGTGTGTGTGTGTGTGTACATGAACCATACTTAGGAAAATAGTCTAGATCTGTGTGGTGGTCTCAATAAGAATGGCTCCTGTAGACCCATTTGTTTGAGTGCTTAGTCATCAAGGAGTGCCACTACTTGGGAAGGATTAGTAGGTGTGGTCTTGTTGAAGGAAGTATATCACTGAAGGTGGGCTTTGAAGTTTTAAAAAGCCCAAACCAGGCTCAGTGGCTCTCTCTTCCTGTTGCCTATGGATTCAGATGTAGAACTGTCAGCTACTTCTACTCACCATGTCTGCCTGTGTGCTGCCTTGCTCTGCACCATGATGGTGGACTAACCCTCTGAAACTGTAAGGCAGCCTCAATTCAGTGCTTTCTTTGTAAGAGTTAATGTGGTCATGGTATCTCTTCACAGCAACAAAACACTAAGATAGGCTGGCAATGTAGTTCAGTGCAGAGCACTTGCTTGTCATGCCTGAATTCATCCTCTCTTACTATGAAAATGGGGTGGGGTAAACAGAAAGACATTTGGTGTTCAATAGAAAGTGTTTTCTAGCTGGGCAAATTCTAGCACCTAGGAGTCAGGGGCAGAGGAACTCCTATGAAATCTAGGCCAGCATGGTCTATATAACAAGCTCCAGGACAGCATACAGGCTGCATAGAGAACCTCTCTCAAAAAAAGGAAAAAGAAAGTGCATTCTCATTTCATGGGAAAAAAAATTTGAGTTGCCATTGGTTGTTTGCTGTACATGGGGAAAAGCATAGGGGATGGGTTGTGGATGGTATCATTACTAGTAGGGGTGAGTCTAGAATTGTCCATAGATAGCAAGCAAACTGGTAGGTACCTCAGTATGATGTTTACTTGTCTACTTTGAAAATATCTGATACTAGATTTATAGAAATAGATAGTCATATAAAGACTGTATCTAATGCACCTCAAGGGTCACAGTCAAAACAGAATGATTTAATACACTCTTCCCTTACCATCAATCAATCTGCCGCTTCAAGCCTATATCAAGGCAGTAGATGTGTTATTGCTGGACTTGCATTAACACATGGTTCTCACCCAGAGTCCATGGATTCCATGGACCTCATTTTTGATGGTGCAGATTTTATTGTTGTTATCACTGACAGGGTCTCCCTATGTAGTCCTGAGTGTCCTGGAACTTGCTATATGTCTTCCAGGCTGTCGCAGAACTCACAGAGATCCACCTGCTTCTGTTTCTGCCTCCTAAGTGCTGGGTTTAAGGCATGTGCTACCGTGCCAAGCCTCCTGGTGGTATAAATGCTGTGGGTTTGGGCACACGAATAATGACATATGTCTTACCTTAAAGACCATTTGATGACTGTAAAAATGTTGTGTGCTTCATCTATTCATCCTTCTTGGGCAATGAATCTTTATCCTCTCCCCTCCCTCCTCTTCCCTCTTCCTTCTTCTTCCCTCTTCCCTCCTCTCTCCCTGTCCCTGTCTTCCAAGTGGTGGAATTTTAAGTGTGTGCACCACCACATCCAGCCATACTACTCTTGCCTTTCTCTGAATGTTTTCTACTTGGAATCATATAATGATGTTGGGATTTAATCTGAAATTACATTCATTGTCAGACAGGGGCCAGAACAGATTCCTGTACTGAAAAAAAAATTTTTTTTAAAGATATATTTATTTATTTTACGTATGAGTGCTCTATCTGCATGTACACCTGCATGCCAGAAGAGGGCATCAGATCCCAGTATACATGGTTGTGAGCCACCATGTGGTTGCTGGGAGTTGAACTCAGGACCTCTGGAAGAGCAGACAGTGCTCTTAACTGTTAAGCCATCTCTCCAACCCCAGAAAGATTCCTTTTCTGAACATTCACTTGAGAAAACATTTCACTATTTTTGGAATTATATGTTCAACATTATCAAAGCACAAATGTACATTTGTTTTCTGTGTCTGAATCCATGTTCTGTTTCTGTATCCATGTTTCTCTACACCTTCAACCTAGTTCTAGGCAGGGAGAGAAGTGCTTATAATCATCTTTTGATTTCTCCTCTCCCCTTCACATTCAAATGAAGTAAAGTGGGGTCAAGTAGGTCCCATAAGCTCTAAGCCCCTCTCCAAAGCCCTTCTGGCAGAAGGCCTGACAGTGCCCAGAGTATGAGCACATAGTGTCTAGATCAGTCTCCTTAGTCATCTGTCCACATGCTGCCAGCAGGCTGCTGGGTCTGGGCCAGAGTGGCCATGGAGCAGAGCCAAGGTATTATGAAAAAGCACCAGCTTAGGTTTCACGTCTCTGGGATTAGAGTGGAAGATCTATTTGCCAATTGTCATCAACCAAATTTCTCACACTTTGCATGATGAGTTACTTTGTTTGGTATTCAGACGGAACCAGATTTTTTTTTTTTTTTTCAAAAAAAGAAGCTTAGTCTTTACTTTAAATTACCGTCCAGTGTATAAAGACTTGTGTATGCCACTTGAGACCATTCTAAGATGGAGGCTTCATGGAGGTATTGTGGAAAATTCTTGTAATAATGTGCATGTAAGGCTTTAACTTTTTAAAAAAGACTTACATTTTGATGTGTCTTGAATATGTACTTAGAAAAATGATAGTAGGTCTTTTAAAATGTCCTGTTTTTCTTTTTGAGACTAGTTCAGAGGATGCTACTCCTAAGTCCTGTTAGATATGTTACCAGTCTGTTTATTTTGGCAAGATAAACTGTTAAGACCTGACAAATGATGTCTGCAAAGCACATGCCTTGTTAAGTATATAGACAAGCCACAGATGTTTCTATGGGAAGAAAGCATCCCATTCACTTCAGGGTTCCAGTGCTTAGCTCTAAGTAGTCAATGAAATTAGAGAGGGAACAGAGCTACCTTTCCCATTGCTTATAACCAATATTGTGCTTTGGTTTTCAGCTGTGTTTTTGTTTTTCCTGACTTTAAAAAACAATGTATATTAAATGAACAGAATAGTTTTCACATGTGTGTGTATAGCATACTTTGGTCATATTCACCTGAGCTACTGCCATATTGCACAGTGCAAGCAGTATGGGTTTCCTTTTTAAAAAGCTGTGTCATGTGCTTTTATGTATATTACAGTGGCTTTTTCTTGCAATTAAGGGGAAGCTTGATGTCTGCATTTCTCACAAGGCCATCTGGCCTTCCATCTTACTCTGTGAGAGGGCAGTGTCTTCTCAGTTGCATTGGCATGCTCTGCTGTGGTTCCAACTCATCCCGCTTTTGGACCTTTGTAGCTTCTGAAGTAGTGTTCTTGAAGCAGGATGTTAGGTCAGTCTGAGGAGGGATTTTAGACCACAAATAGCTCTATAGTCTGTTAATGTATGTGTCTATTTCTGGGAAATACGTCCTTTATGTCTCAGTGGTGTAGTTTGGGCATGAACTTTTTACAGGGAAATAGCAGCTAGTCATGAACAAGAAAAAAAATGGAAAATGCAAATTACAGACAACCACCTAAATAGTTAAGACCATGACAGTCTGTGCAGCATGGGGGTCTTGCCAGCAGACACATCTGTAGTATGGTGGTGTGCATGCCCATGGGGCAAGAGGAGTATCACATTCTCCTTTATAAGAAAATACTTGACTGATGAAAAGAAGAATCATTCATTTTTGCATTTCTTAATACTCAGCTAACTCTAGTGATGGGATACCTTTCACATCTCTGTATTATGAGTTGAATCAGAAGCTATTATGTTTCTTGATATTCTTTCCCACTATGTCCTTTTTATTAAATTCTTTCTTGTTAAGGAACTTCTGTGAAGTCTTTTTTTTTTTTTTTCTCATATAGTTCTTAGCTATCTGACAGGTCAGTCTTTTTTTTTTTTTTTTTTTTTTTTTTAACCAATTTTGAAGTTTGTAGCCCAGTGGTAGAGTACATGCCTAGTGTATATGAAGTCTAAGATTACATCCCAGTACTGAAAAAAACAAATATATAAGAAGTTTCAGAAGTTTCTTAGCTTTTCCAAGGCAATACTATTTTTATTTTGAAAATATACATTCCATGGGGGTGGAGAGATGGCTCATAAGCACTGTCTGCTCTTCCAGAGGTCCTGATTTCAATTCCCAGCAACCACATGGTAGCTAATAACCATCTATTAATGTGATCTGGTGCCCTCTTCTGGCATGAAGGTGAACATGCAGTTAGAGCACTCATATACATAAAATAAGTAAATAAATCTTAAAAATATATACATTCCACAAAGTACTGAACAGTTCATCTTATAAACATTAATTCCACATTGCCAAAGAATTATTTCTTTTGAAATTAGGGAAATTTTAGAATGTTTAATGAATGCTTAATATGGAATAAAAATAGAAATACTTATTTTTTTTTTCTAAAAACATTCTTAAAACTGTTTTTGTGCATAGCTGTATAACCCTTGCAATGCCCATTTTATTTCTCTGGACACTTGTTCTATGAATGCTCTTTCCTTTTAGCTTGATAAGGATGACATGGTATACATGGAAGCATATGATAAATTGCTGGAGTCCTGGCTAACTTTGGTCCAAGATGACAAGCATTTCCATAAAGGCTTTTTTACACAACATGCAGTTCAAGTTTTCAATTCTTATATTCAGTGTCACCTTGCTGCTCCAGATGGCACGAGGAATTTGGTAAGTTTTAGGCAAGGTGGGATGAAAAATCACCATAGGCTCTATTTAACCATATTAGACAATATGAAACACTAGAAATTTGGGATAAGTTCCTTCAAAGATTTGCTCAGAAAAATGTGGTTCCTTTTATCTACTGGGTTTTCATATGTAGGATGTTACTTACAGTCACCTCCCTTTTAAGTTTTCAGTTACCCACTCTATCTTGCTAAGATATTCTATAGAAATAACATCCTATGGTCAAAGAACTAGAGAATTAGAGAATCTTTTTTTTTTTAATCTGTTTACCTTTATTTTATGTGCATTGGTGTTTTGCCTACATGCATGTATGTGTGATAGTGTCAGATGTGGGTGCTGGGATTTGAACGCTGATCCTGGAAGAGCAGTCAGTGCTGTTAACAGCTGAGCTATCTCTCTAGCCCCTAGAGAATCTTAAGATACTAATTTGTTTTAATGCAGTGGCAGTCCCCAGCATAAGAGGTAGACTATAGTTATGCAGCTAGCTGTTAGCATGTGCACAAGGAAGCATTTCTTTCTTTCCTTTTTTTCAAAGCTCTCCTCATCCTTTTGATGGCTACCAGAGCTGCTGTCATGGTTAGAAAAGAGTCCTAGAAAGCTGTACCTGCAGGTTGACTCTGTCTAGCTCCTCCTGAAGCCATTTGACAGGGCACAGGCACACATGCCTTATAGAACATGATGCTGCATTTCCTCACTATTTCTCCTCTTTTACCAAATAGACTGCCAATGGTGTGGCCTCTCGAGAGGAAGAGGAAATAAGTGAACTCCAAGAAGATGATCGAGATCAGTTTTCTGACCAACTAGCCAGTGTAGGAATGCTGGGAAGAATTGCTGCTGAACACTGTATGCCTCTTCTGACAAGGTACACCCAGTCCAGGAACTGTGGAGAAAGCTCTCTGTTCTCAATTCCCTGGAGAGCTTAAACACCCCACCCTGTGTCCCAGCACACTGGACCCAGTGGACAGAGCATGTTGTGATTGCATTCTTTGGCTTGTACAATTGGGGTCCAGGCACTGTAGCGTAGATGGCAGGGATTATGGAAAAACATGAGAAATGACCTGGAATAACCAACTTCAAATACCTGTCATAAACGTTCCTTGTCTGTAAAGTGTTATTTTAATTCTGTGTCACAAAATATACATTATAATTCCTATAGTGCTCTTGAGGACAGTTGAGTACTATAATATTTTTGAATATATGTATATGTTTTGTGCTAACATCTTAGTTTCTGGTTTGTTTGTTTGTTTGTTTATATGGAAATTATTAATTGCCGTAGGCCTTCCTAACCTGAACTTATGAAGCTATTGTTTCTTTCCTCTTTTAGTTTATTAGAAGAAAGGGTAACAAGACTCCATGGTCAGTTACAACGACATCAGCAACAATTACTTGCTTCACCTGGATCAAGCACCATTGACAACAAAATGCTTGATGATCTCTATGAAGATATCCACTGGCTTATTTTAGTTACAGGTTGGTTACTTTTTTCTTCTTAAAATGTAGTTACCCGTGAAATCATTTAAACCCTAAAAGAAGCCTCATCTATGAAAAAGGATAGTTTAGAGCTGGGTGTGGTGGCATATCCCTGTAATTAATTGTAGCCCAAATGGAAGCTGAAGTAGGAGGATTGTGATTTTTGAGGCCAGCTTGGGCTACATAGGGAGACCCCATTTCAAACATCAACAAATTATATATAGTTCATACCTGGTATTGAATGGCTTGGATACAGCTGCTGTTTGACAGAGAGCAATAGACATTTTTTATAAACCACTGGCTACTATGTATTCAGGCCTGTTATATGCCAAGTGTTTGTTTTGGATCTCACTGTAGCCTGCCAAGTTAGTATTGTTGTTCAGTGGTGTTAGTCATCATCATCATCATCATTCCCAGCTCACAGATGAAGAAGCTGAAAGTATAAGAAATGGTCATAATGTAGTTACTTTTGGAGCCTGAGTGCAAATCTAGGCAGTCTGACTTTTTCCTTGATCACTAGACTTAATTAGTGATTCTGTATTGTAATCAAGGAAAGAAAAAAACACTTGACTTTTAAAAAGTTATGTATGGATAAATGCTGATATAATAGTAGAATTCCCATTAACTTAACAGAATAAATTGCTCACGTTTTCAAAGCCTACATGTCACCATGCATTATGAGATTGATGACTAAAACATTTGTCCTTTATCCTTTGCTGTATTTTTGAGGGTTTTAATTATCTGAGAAATTGACAGTTTCTGCACCTCATCTTGAAATTAACAGGTTAACATTACAATTTATTTTTACATCAACCTATATGATGTATATAAATCAAAACTGAAAGCATTTATAGTGCAATTTGATAAATAGATTTGTTAAGTGTTCATTTTTAATTTTTTTTAAACTGAAGGCTACCTCTTAGCTGATGATACTCAGGGAGAGACTCCGCTAATACCTCCAGAAATAATGGAATATTCCATTAAGCATTCATCTGAAGTTGACATTAATACAACACTTCAAATTTTGGGATCTCCAGGAGAAAAGGCTTCTTCCATCCCAGGGTACAGCAGAACAGATTCTGTGATTAGGTAATATGAACTCTATAGCTGCGCTCTTGTAATTTATGCTGTCTCATAAACTCTTGAGTTGATGGGTAGATGACTGGAGGGGTAGGCTCACTGTAAACTGGATACATGAAAGAAACGAGAACTTGGAGAAGCCTTGAAACAAGGATGGCAAGGGTATGGTAGCAGGAGTTGGCAGGGCTGTCCAGTACTGAAAAGAATAAATGTAAAATGATTCTGAATGCAAGACTTAGAAGCAAGCATTCACTATAATTTATTTCAAACATAGTGTTTGTCCATCAGTAAGCAGTCATGATGTATTTACAGGCAACCTTCAGAGGAAAAAATAGTTCTTAGAAAGCAGATGAGCCTCAACAAGTATATATTGCTTATGAAAGTGGAAACTGTGTCAGTGGCTTCTTAAGGAAAACTGTCATGATATTACAGAAATAGTTATCCTAAATATGTGAAACTTGAGAGCCCTGTCACCAGTGACTACAAGACAGCAAGAGTGCCTCTGAGGATTCACTTTTGTCTTCCGATTAGTAATGGCAATGTTTTCTTTAATTCTTAATGATGAAACTAAAGAAGTAAATCTGAATTAATTGTATTCTTAGATCTGAAGATTGTGTTACATTTTATTTCATTGTCTTTTAGTCTCGGTTGCCTGTAGTGATAGTAGGGATGATAACAGCACTGGTTTTTGTCAATTACTCAAGGTTTGGCCCCCCCCCCCTTTTTTTTTAATGCAAATAGAAGTGGACATTTAAACCTCTACAGTGGAAGATACAGTTTTTGTTGTTGTTTTAAGTTCAGATATTAAGCTGATACCAAGGAAATGTTTAGGACTTTATTTTCTTTATTGGTACATTTTCTTGTTTGCCATAATATTAGAATTCTTAAGCAGAAGTTTCTTTCTTTTGAGGTTACTGTTGTGATTAGATTTTATGCTTTTGCTTTGGTTCATATCCTGATGACTGTTATTTATAGGATGGTTCATTGCAGAACTCTACCATGGGTGCTATGTTCTATTTCTTGTGGCAAGTACCATGAGGAGCATTTCCCCTGAATTAGGAGTGCTCCTGATTTTGCAAATCAGAATTGTAAGTGTGACAGCAAATCATTCTCATATTTGAGAACATAGACTTTGGAGTATTGGAATGGCTAGGCTTTTGTTGTTTTTAAAGAGCTAATGTGAATTGATTTGATATATGGGAGAAGCAACGTGTGCTTCACCAAAAATATAGATCCTATTTCTTGAAAGAAAATGTCATTTAAGAAAGAATTATTAGCTGGGTGTGATGGTATGCACCTTTAGTTCTAACCCTCGGGAAGCAGAAGCAGGCTCTGTGAGTTCAAGACTAGCCTGGTCTACAAAGAAAGTTCCAGGAGAGCCAAGGCTCTGTTACATAGAGAAACCCCATTTGGGGGGGGGGGGGAGATTATTAGTGCCTTCATGGCTTGGTCCCTTTGTGGGCACATGGGATACATTTATGAAGAAAAACAAACAAAACCTGCTTTCCCCTTTCGAGTTCTTGTTAAGGGAGGCCAGATCAACAGGTGATGGGATGTGTTAGAGAACAGGAAGTACTGTGGGTGAAGAGCCAAGTAGGGCAGGGCACCCGAAGCACAGACTGCTGCTGGGGCTGCTGTGATCTTTTAAGTATGATTCACATAAGCTGTGTTTCCATGACTCCTGAGCAAGGATTAAAGTTGGTAAGAGAGTCTTGAATGTGCCTGGGAGAAGAACATTCTAGGCAGAGCAAAAATAAAATAACTAATGCGAAGGCCCTGGCCATACTTGCCATGATCAAGTAGTAGCCAGAATGCTATGGTAGACCAAGCTGAGAGAAAGGGATTTTTGTAAGAGATGAAATTGTGGCAATAAGTAGGAAGAAAACAATTATAGTCTTCAGGTCTTGTAAGGCATCTTTGCAGTGAAGAAGATCGGGATACTGCTGAAAATTCTGAATAAGGGAGTAAGCCACACATTCCAGAGCTTTCCCTAATTACCACTCTGAGGGAGAGTGTTAGACATGGGGAGGCTGCCTATGGATCTAGTCATAGTTATCAAGGAGAAACATGACAGTGTCCAGACTAGGTGACAGCAGTAGGCTGTGAGATGGTAAGGCCTGCCTCATCATCCTGACTTTTGAGTTATTATATTTAGGATGGGACATAAGGATTCAGGAGTCCTACTTTACCTGATCTACTGGCAGAATACTTGGCAATCAGACTGCTACTTGAAGGATGAGAGGAAAGAAGGCAAAAGTGGCAGGAAAGGTCTTGTGTGACTGTGATTGTGGGGTGGAAAGGCTAGAGAGGCATTGGGTTCATGAGATAGGATTTTCGGGAGGGAAGTGAGCGTAACTGTTTTATAGCCATTGTCTTGTGGAAGGTAGAGTTAAATGTGATAGACCAAGTTGGGAAGTAGTTAAGTTTGACTCTTGGGGAGAAGATGGGAACTGGCCCTTGGGTTTGAGTAGTGTATCTGAGAGAATTCTCCAGGCTGCTACTGGTTTCTTTTGGGCATGGTGTTGAGAAGGGAAAGTATGCAGGAAGATTCCCTAGGGTTTCCTGACCTCTGCTGCTACTACCCTTTCACCTTTCTTCCACTAGACAAAAGAAAGGCTTGAGCTCACTTAGTCTGAGTGGGGCTGGCAGGTGTATGGGTGCCCACAGAGTACCACAGAAAGGGCAGTTTCAGATACCTTTGTTGATGGCCATGTAGCCAACGTGTCACACCCAAGGGGCCTGACACTGACTTGATCTTGAGTTGTGTCATATAACTTGTAAGTAATTCAAATAACGGATGACCTTGCTGTTTAAAAAATAACTTTTTGTAATGGAAACAAGTTTGTTTGTTTGTTTCTTTGTTTCCCCAGTGTTTACATCTCTTAAATGAGAAAGGAATCAACTTTTCCTCCACTTTGGCTCTTTCTGGCAATGAGTAATATTTATTCACAAGTATATAAATCAAGTAGGAAACATAAAACCTTTGTGTGTTATCCCCAGGAAATAGACAAAATGGGCTGAGAAGGTGGTAAACCACCTTTGCCTAGCATGTGTGAGCTTCTAGGTTGGAGCCCTAGCACTGGGGGAATTGTTTCTTAATGTAAATCTGTGTTACACTTTGTTCTACTATATGCTGTTGTTAAGTATAACAATAATAAATCAACCCGAAAGGCCTTTAAAATACTGATAATTTTATGGTCTTTGGAAATTCATGAAAAGTATAACAAATATTTGTGTTATAGAAAATAGTCTAATTGGTCAGTAATATTCTTTGGGGAAATAAAGTTCAAATAAAAAAATTTGTTTTGAATAAATAGCAGTGGCTGTCAACACTACAAAGATTGAATTGCAATGTGTATTTTGTTTTGTTTTGTTTTGTTTTGTTTTGTTTTGTTTTTTTCGAGACAGGGTCATTCTGTAGTCTTGGCTGTCCTTGGAACTTACTCTGTAGACCAGGCTGGCCTGAACCTCACAAAGATCTAGTAGATCTCTGCTTTCCAAGCGCTGGGATTAAAAGTGCACCGCCACCACCTGGTGCAGTGCTTACATTTAAAGTACCTATATAATAATTTTATTTCTAATTCCATTAGGCTTTCAATTATATTTAAAATAATTTACTCTTAGAGGAAATTTTTAATACAGCATTTTTGATAAAATGTTATTGGAATTTCTCTTATTCTTGTTCACATACACTCTACAATTTAGAAAGTTCGAACACTGGTTTATGAGAAGCATGTGGATAGGGAGGGGGAAAGCAGCTTTTAGGTAGAACTTTTCTGATTTAAAGAAAGCCCTGAGAAGAGTCTCCATAAAGACTGGGAAGCAGTAAGCAGGCAGATGGTGGGGCATGGGAAGTGGTCCCAGGACAGCCGTGGGGAGGGGCTCTTTCACAGGGGCCGGGCAGTCAGCAGCACCAAGTACTTCTTGGTGGGTATCAGAAGGTCAGGAAGGAACTCACATCTCCATCTGGTTTGATTTTGCAGGAATCTCAGAGTTCTGGAGAGCAGGAAGGAATAGAGCAGAGCCACACTGTAGTGACTAGAATTCTACTTTGGGCACTGACGTTCATTGCAGCCTGTGCTTCCTTGTCTTTCGGCTAAAGTCAAGTTAAAAATGTGTGATTTCGGCTACATTCCTTCCCCATTCTCATAGTATGGGAATGGACAATATTTTTACCTTAGGTTAGTTTGTTTCAGGAAGGCTTTGTTTTAAGATACTATTAAGAATCATGATTGTGAGACAATATGCAAGACCATGAGTTTTGAAGACAAGCAACAGAACCCGTCCTTTGTGATATGAAAATATAAACTATGTCCCAGAGGAGTGCTGAAAAGTTATGGTTCACACTCTGAACATTTACTTGTATATGTTCCTTCATTTCGAATCCGGGAACTACGCTTTAGACAGTGGTGCTGAGGCTTACATCTGCAGTTACAGCCTGAGCAAAGGGTGCTTCTCCTTCCTTCTTTGTCTTTACTCTGGAAGATCAGAGATAATGTGAGGGCTTTATCTACAACCCTGTTGGTGGAATTTCACACATAGCCTGGGATAAAGAAGCAAAAAAGATTTCTTTGGAAAAAAAAATAGGGTTAGCAGAACTTGTGCTTTCTCCCCACAGGCTGTTGTCTGCTGTGCTAAGAGTCTCAGAAGTTGAATCTCGAGCAATAAGAGCAGACCTCACCCATCTACTAAGTCCTCAAATGGGCAAAGACATCGTTTGGTTTCTAAAACGCTGGGCCAAGACTTACCTCCTGGTAGATGAAAAACTGTATGATCAGGTGAGGAAGTAAACCCATCACTCTTTCTGGGCTTATGGCGGTGTCAGTTTAGCGGTAGGACGACTGTGCTGTTGGTTTCACTTGGCTGGGTTTGGTGGCACACGCCTTTAGTCCCAGCACTTGGGAGGCAGAGGCAAGGGGATCTTTGAGTTCCAGGACAGCCACAGAGAAACCCTGTCTTAAAAAAAGAAAAGGAAACAGAACTATATGTTTTTATATTGCCATTGACATCCTCATGTCTATATTTATTTTTAATATGTCAGTTTGTTAATAATTACTCTGAGACTAAAACTGACAAAAATTAGTTGAAAAACATGGATGCATTGAGGCTTATCTTTTTGATTCAGCAAATGAAAAATGATAAAACTAATGTGAAGTGAGCGCCTCCTCAGGCATTGATGCTAGTTTCATTGTTGATTTTCTGTGGACTAGTTTTTAGTTGACCTTTCTAACTTTAGAAAATTTTATCTTTTCTCTTAAGATAAGTTTGCCATTGAGCACAGCATTTGGAGCAGATACAGAAGGTTCCCAGTGGATTATCGGCTACCTCTTACAGAAAGTCATAAGTAATCTGTCAGTCTGGAGTAGTGAGCAGGACCTTGCGAATGATACTGTGCAGCTCCTTGTCACTCTGGTGGAAAGAAGAGAAAGGTAAGGAGTGAGAAGGAGCAAGTTAGCTAACTAGCTAGTTAATTAACTTAAACACACACACACACACACACACACACTTTCAGGATCTGGTGAAATGCATGAAAGGTTACATACACTGGCTGAGCTGGGTGGTTGTGGTGCCTTTAATCCTAATACTCAGAATGCAGAGGCAAGTGGATCTCTTAAGTTTGAGCTCAGCTTGTGTACAGAGTGGGCTCCAGGACAGCCAGGGTTACATGGAGAAACCCTTCTTGACAAACAAAATAATAACAACAAGAGAACACTGGCTACTCTTCCAGAGGACCCTGATTTGATCCCCAGCACACAATGGTAGCTCACAACTGTAAGTGACTCTGGTTCCAAAGGATTTGATGCCCTCTTCTAGCATCTTTGGGCACCAGCCATATACAGTGTACACAGACATACTGCAGGCAAAACACTCATACACATAAAATAAAAGTCTTTTAAAACCCCATTTTCATGTATAATATTCTCATCTGATATTTTTGAGTGTACCTCCCACATACACCTTCTCCCTCTCCCCAACCCACCTACACACACATAAATACATACACCCACACGCATAAATACGTAGTACATACTCATACAGGGTTTCTCTGTGTAGCCCTGGCTGTCCTGGAACTCTCTGTAGACCTGACCTGTCTCAACTCGGAGATCTACCTACCCCTGTCTCCTAAGTGCTGGGATTAAATGCATGATCCCCCATGCCTGATTCAGTATTCCCAGTTATTAGTGAGAACAACTGATGTTTAAACTGATTTTACAAAGTAAAACTTTTAGTGCTTTCTATAGAAAATTGTAGGTGTACTTTAACTTTTCTTAATACATGGGAATGTTATTGTTGTTGATGCTGTTGGCTTTGACTGCTGTTTGAGTATTGCTCATAAAGGATCTATCTCACTTGAGCATGAGATTTGGTGCTGTTCTAGCTTCTTGCCCTTGTTGCCTTGTTCTCCCTGGGAATCTGATTCTACCTCTTCCAAACAGAGAGGGCGAGTTACCTATGGAGCTTGGGTGGGAGGTTACTTGCAGGGCAGCTCTATCACCAAATGGCACACCCTCCCCTGTATGACTGCACATGAAAGCTCTTCACTAGAGCCCCTTTCACAAATTGGGGGCAGCCACAGCACCAAAGAGTCCCCTTAGCCAGCAATCAATCACCACTCGTAGAAACTGGAAACAGGTTTCCTTGGTCTTAGACGTTTCCTAAGCCTCTTCCCACCTACCTTCCGATGGAAATGGCTACATAGCCATGATTATTTCACAGCCTGAAAACTAAGCAAAGACTTTTTTTGTTCTTGAGCAATTACTAGGCTCTGAATAAAGACCAATGTAACCTCAGAGTCCATATTGAGCTTATGATACTGTTCTTTAAAAATTATATTCAGAGTGCTGAAGAGGTGGCTCAGCAGTTAAGAGCTCTTGATGCTCTTCCAGAGGACCAACATTTGGTTCCCAGAATCCACTTTGGGTGGCTCACGGCCATCTGTAATTCCAGCTTCAAAGGATCTAGTGTTGTCTTCTGGCAGCTATATCTATGCGCCTGTACACGTGTCACACACAGACATACAGACACATACGACATGGATATGACGAGTTACATCCAGTCATATCCATGTTCTTATCTTAGTCTTCAGAGGGCTGAGGAGGGAAGATTGCCAAAGTGTGGCCGGCATGGAGTAAAGCAAGGTATTGCCTCAGATATTTTTAAAATTAGATGTCTGTGCCTTCCTCCCTTCAATGTGTGTGTTGCCCGCATGAGTTTGCATGTACCAAGTATCTGCAAATGCCTGAGAGGCCACCTGATATCCAGATATCCACCTACAACTGGAGTTGTAGGTGGCAGTGAACCGCCATCATGGCTACTGAGCCATCTCTCCAGCCCTGTACAGTTCTTATTTTCTTAGTAGATATAATACAACTTATTTATAATTTCTACTTGTAGGGCAAACTTAGTAATTCAGTGTGAAAACTGGTGGAACCTAGCAAAGCAGTTTGCAAGCCGAAACCCACCTCTTAATTTCTTGTCAAGTCCAGTGCAGAGGACACTGATGAAGGCCCTGGTCTTAGGAGGATTTGCACATATGGACACAGAAACCAAGCAGCAGTATTGGACGGAGGTAAAAAGTCCCTTCTCTTCTGACTCTTCTGTCACTCTGCAGATGTTAGAAGATAGTCTGGGGTCATAAATAACTCAGCAATACCTTGTCTCATGATCTTTCTCCTCATCAACCATTTGAAGCTTATCATTTGACAAATATTGTCTTAGGACTTATCCAGCCCTGGTTGTTTGACACATGGTTTCTATTCATCAGGTACATTTTCCCAACCCAGATGAGGGCATGAATTAGTGTGTCTTTATCAAAATGTTAAAAGCATGGTGGGTGGTTCAGAGATAAAGCACTTGCTTTAGCCTGCCAATGCCTTGTTAGTCAGCCTGTCCCTAAGATATGGGGGAAAAAATTGTGTCATGAAGAAGAACTACAAGCCATTTTTTGCCTTGAAAAGGAGATGAAAATTACAGTGTGTTTTTCCTTCCTGGCACTTCTCTTACCATAATGGCCTAAGCAACAGATTCTCACTGCCTTGCATTTAGGAGGCTGCCTGCACGAACAAAGAAAGTTTTAAAGGTCTATAAGGATGAGTCTGTGGCTTTTGGTAGTTAGTGACAACCTTTGGCACTTTGCATCCAAATTTCCTCAGTATATAAAACACCGATTTGGGACTGGAGGGATGGCTCAGTGGTTAAGAGCACTATCTGTTCCTCCAAAGGTCCCAGCGCACAACTGTCTGTAACTCCAGGTCAAGGGATCTGACACCCTTACACCAGTGTGCATAAAATTAAATTAAAAAAACAAAACAAAAACAAAAAACGCCGTATTAGAGTAGGGGTACATTCTCTATTAGGAACACATCCCAACTTACTGCATTTCAAATCATTTTGTTTATGTGAGGTCACTTTTTGAGCTTTGAATTCAATGTGGGCATTTTCTATAATAATTTGTTTTTGAATCAAGTGTATTTGTGGAGGTCTGGCCTCTGGTCCTTATGTCTAGAGTTAATATCTGTGGAGGCAAGGGCACAAGAGCAGACAGTTATCTATGACTTCATAGCTAAGCTAAACAGACTGACTTTTTTCTTTTCAAGATTTAAAAAATATTTCCCCCATGGGTCCATAGAAATGATTCATTGGTTAAGAACACATACTCTTCTTCCTGAGGACACAAGTTTGGCTCCTAGTGTCCACTTTGGATGGCTCACAGCTGCCTGTAACTTCAGGTCCAGGAGACCTGATGCCTCTGGTTCTGTGAGCACCTGCATGCATGTGCACATACCTACCACATACAAGTGGATACATGTAACAAGAGGTTGACCATAGTCATCTTCCTCAGTTGCTCTCATCCTTATTTTTTGCGATAAAGTCTCTTACTGTATCCTAAACTGTGATTTCAGCTAGGCTGGCTAGCCAGCAAACCCCAGGATCCTCCTTGTCTCTGTTTCCCAGCACTGGGATTATAGACATTCAGCTTATATGTGGGTGCTGGGGTTTGAACTCAGGTCCTTACACTTTATGTGGTGACTTGGTTACTTTTCTGTTTTATTGCTTGGAGAACACACCATGACCAAGGCAACTTATAAAGTAAAGTATTTAATTGGGGGCTTGCTTACAGTTTCACAGAGTGAGTCCATAACCATCATGGCGGGGAGATGGCAGGAGTCTGGCAAGAATGGCACTGGAGCAATAGCTCACGTTAAGACAACCGTAAAGCAAATAGAAGCTAACTAGGAATACATCCTAACCCTCCAACAAGGCTATACACCTTCTAATCCTTACCAAACAGTTTCATCAACTAGGAACTTAGTATACAAATATGAGTTTATTGGGGCCATTCTCACTCAAACTACCACATGTAGCATGTACTTTACCAACTAAGCCATTTCCTCAGGCCCATAAATACTCTTAACACCAGAAGAGGACCCATTATCTGAAGTTGTATTCTATGCCAAGAATTGTGGGGAAAGGGGGAAAAAACAGACAAGGCCCTTATATTTTGGTTATATTACACTAGAAATTGGCAGACTGGCTCATAGACCAAACATGATTGCTGTGTCTATACATGGGCTTTTCTCAGTTATTTATTGCTCAGTGTTCACGTGGCTCTGCTGAAATGCAGAGTATACAGACTTACTCTCTGGCCTGTGTGGAGTAAAAGGTTGTAGCTCCCCTGCTGAGAAGTTCTGTTTTGTTTTTTTTCTTTTCATCTTTATAATTTTCTCTGCAATCACCTGGGAAAATATGGAGAGGAGTGGGAGATTTCAAAGAATGAATTGAGCATGCACACACAAACATACACACACCTCAATAATCTCTTCCCTTCTGAAGCAGAGCAAGAGGATTGACACCAGTTTTGAGTCCAGCCATGGATTCACAGTGGAACTATTAAAAAACAGAAAGGGGGGCTGGAGAGATAGCTCAGTGGTTAAGAGTTCTGTCTGCTCTTCCAAAGGACCCAGGTTCAATTCCCAGCATCCACATGGCAGCTCACAACTGTTTGTGAAATGGAAAACTCCATTTCCAAGGGATCTGACACCTTCATACTAAGGAACTTAATTATTTAAAAAGGAGGAAGGGTTGGGATGGAGAGATGGCCAGGTGGATAAAGCACTTGTCCCACAAGTTTGAGGACCAGAGATGCCCAGCACCATCTAAAAAGCTGAGTGTACATGAAGGTTCACTTAAAATCTCAGCACTTAGAAAACAGGGACAGTATCCCCAGGGCAAATTAGCAGGCTCTAGACTCAGAGAGATGCCTTGCCTCAGTAAAGCAGACCCCAGTGTAAACACACGTGCAATAAAACGAAAGTGAAATTGTGAGAGAATAAGTGAAATATTAAAAAAAAAAAAAAAAACTTTAAAAAAAATGGGATTAAAAGAACGATATGCTGTGACATGGGAGTCGTTTCTTTGTATGTCATAAAGTGCCATATCCTCAAAATGGACATCATACCTTAAACCTGTAATCCCAGCACCTGTGAGTCAGAGATAGCATTCCTGAGAGATCAAGACCTGGTCTCCCCAGCAAGAACCTGTTTCAAAGACTTAAGGGATAGGGAACTTAATGGCTCAAATAGTCTCCTTTTTTATGTGCTCAATCTGTTTGAGTAGAAATATTTTGGGAACAGGTATTCATCTAAGTTAAGGAGCACACTCTGCATGTTAGGAAGTTCATGCTGTGATGTGCCTCCACAGGTTCTGCAGCCTCTGCAGCAGCGATTCCTGAGAGTGATAAACCAAGAGAATTTTCAGCAGATGTGTCAGCAGGAGGAAGTCAAGCAGGAGATCACTGCCACGCTGGAGGCCCTGTGTGGCATTGCTGAGGCCACTCAGATCGACAATGTAGCCATTCTTTTTAATTTTTTAATGGACTTCCTTAACAATTGCATTGGGTTAATGGAAGTATACAAAAATACTCCAGAAACTGTCAATCTCATTATAGAAGTTTTTGTTGAAGTTGCACATAAACAGATATGCTATCTTGGAGAGGTAAGCACATTCTAGTTTTATTCTTTCAAGATTAAAAGTCTCTGAAGCAATGATACTTTATTCTTTGCTTCACTTATAATGCATATTTATATTTCTCCAAAATAGAAATTCAAGCTGAATGAATATAGTTCTTATATGCAAAATGTTATTGTTAGAGAAGGGCTAATATATTAAATATAGCTGTACTCTTACTATTAAGTGTACTTTTATTATTGGTCTTTGGTTGTTTTATTGTTGTTATTTTGGGGGGATTGTTTGTTTTTGTGGTAGGGTCTCCCTATGTAGTCAAGGCTAGCCTCAAGCTCACAGAGCTCCATTTGCCTCTGCCTCCCAGGTGCTCAGATTAAAGGTGTGTACTGCCAGTTCCAGCTCCTTTTATTATTGTTAAGGTTATTGTTATGCTGTGTGCATGTGTTTTTTGTGTCAGCGTGTCTGTGTGTGCCAGAAGTCAAGGGTTGGGTATCTTCCTGTATTTCTCTCCACTTTACTCTCTGAGACGAGGACTCACTCACCCCTATAGCTCCCCACACCAAGTAGGTGCAAGGCACTCTTGTCTCCTCCGCCCTGGTACTAGGATCATAAGCATGCCCCACCACTGGGGATCTGTGTTCAGTGGTCATGTTTGTTTGCCAGATACTTTACCAACTCTCAACCCTTTAGTATTGTTAAAAGTAGAGCTACCCTTCTAACTCTGAGTAGATTTAAATTTCAGCTTATTTACCAGATCCTACCAAGTAATATCATGTGTTCTATTTTCTTACAGTCCAAAGCTATGCATTTATATGAAGCCTGCCTTACTTTGTTGCAAGTATATTCTAAGAATAATTTAGGGCGGCAAAGGATAGATGTTACAGCAGAAGAAGAGCAGTACCAGGACCTGCTTCTTATTATGGAGCTTCTCACCAACCTTCTCTCAAAGGAGTTCATAGACTTCAGTGACACAGGTAAAGTTTCTTGTAGTAGTGTTTACATTTTGTTCTTACCATCTTTGTTAAAGCCACAGGTTATCTTCTTGCGGTAAAACCCCATGAGGAAGTTCAGTTTTACAAAACAAATGGAAGTAAATTCCTTTGGTTGAAATGATGTTAAAGCTGAAGAACTTTCTCTTGTCTACTTTCAGTATGATTTTTTTATTTATTCAGTTCTCTCTTTTTTTTGTATATAAACCAGTTTATTCTACAGCTTCCACATAGATGTTTTTATCTCAAAGAAAACTGGCTTCTGGTTCCCTTTTCTTCCCTGTTAATTCAGTTGTTAATAAGTGATAACTGCTGCTTTTCTCACAATGCCAAGTAATGCCATTGCTATTCTCACCTTACTGATGAGAGAACAGTGTAGTCATTAGATCACTCACCCACACACATGGAGCTTAGGAAGTTCGAATTCACATTCAAATCTCAAATATGTATCTGCACACCCTAGTCTGTACAACAGTGGTTCTCAGTCTGCAGATAATCCTGCATGCCAGATATTTACATTATGATTCATAACAGTAGCAACACTGCAGTTATGAGGTAGCAATGGAATAATTTTATGGTTGGGGATCAACATGAAGAACTGTATTAAAGGATTGCAGTATTAGGAAGGTTGAGAACCACTGCTTCAGAGGGATATTTCATTGGCTCTTCTATGTCCTCTGAGATGATTGCCCATCAAACCCAGCATTTTATGGATACAGCATGGGAAATTCCATTGAGGTGGGAAGTATTGGATTCCAAATTTGACAGGCTACCTAACATTGTTCTCCAAGGGTATGATACAGGGATAGTCAACTAATCTGTACCTTTCTGAGATGAGTGGCCTTTTAAAACATTTGTTTCTTGCCTAGCACTATGCTTGGCAATCAGTACATTAAAATATAATAATAATAATGATAACTGTACTTGGGCTGGAGAGATGACTCAGTGGTTAAGAGCACTGGCTGCTCTTTGAGAAGACCTGGGTTCAATTCCCAGCATCCACATGGCAGCTCACAACTGCCTGTAACTCCAGTTTTAGGGGATCTGACACCTTCACACAGACATACATGCAGGCAAAACATGAATGCACATGAAATAAAAATGAATAAATTCTTTTTAAATAACTGTTCTTAAAGACAAGGACGGCCAGCCAGTGGTTCTCACTAGTGCGGCTCACCTCTGCTCTCTTCATGCGCTGCTGCAGGGAGAAGGGTACAGACAGGGAGGGGCCGTTTACCCTTTAAATGCTCACCCTTGCCTTCAATGCAAGTTCTCGACAATGCTTTGAAAGTTTCTTCCCTCACTCGTTAACTTGACCACCCAGCCAACTTTGCCTTCAAACCTGATAGATTATAGTGTTTTATAAGGGAAAGCATCATCTCTAGCATTGTGTCATGCAGGCATTTGTGATCAGAAATATTTTTTGATTTCTGGTGAGGTTCTCTAAGCTGGTGCTGTAGCAGCCCACATTAATCACTTTGATCCTGTTGTAGCTCTGTTGGCTTTCTTGGTTCATTTTTTCATTTACTGCCTGCCTTGTTGGTTTCACAGTTCACCAGGCTTACCTAAGTTAGCTGGAGGTACTTAAGTAAGATGCCACGCATTAATGTTAATTTTGATTTCTAGAATGTTTCTTGTCCTTACTTAGCCACTATTACTGTATCCCCTAACAAAATGCAAAATATGAAAGGATGGCATGGGCTGGACTTACCAGATTTCTTTGTTATCCATTAATGAATTTCTTCAAGCTTTTGAGTTGGACTGTATTTGTGTTTTCATAAAGGAACATGAGCTTTGGAAATCTAAGTTACAACAATACAAATAAGCTTTTTGTTTTGCTAGATGAAGTGTTTAGAGGACACGAGCCAGGACAAGCAGCGGGCAGATCTGTGTCAGCAGCTGATGTCGTCTTATATGGAGTGAACCTTATTCTGCCCTTAATGTCACAAGATCTTTTGAAGGTAATTAAAATAATATGAACATAAGCATATTAACATTCTACTTCTGTAGTTTTATAACACTTCACTGTGCTTACCTCTTAGTACACAGGCCCTGTGTGTACCAATGATTAATGACTCAATTCTTCAGAAGCATTTTGCTACCAGTCGTAATTGTATTAGAATTTGTCATTTTGTTTTTAAACTTCATTCTTGGCCAAAGGAGCCAAACATGGTGGCTATTTTTTGAGCCCTTCCCTGAAGAAATGTGATAGTAGAAGCGAAAGTTAGTATAAAAAGTTTTACACATTATGACTGTATCGTGCCTTGGCTCCACCAGTTGGTCTTGAGGGTGGGTGCCTGTTGAGGTTCCAGAAGCCCTCCAGGGGAGAGCAGGGTATGTGTTATGCATTATCACAGAAAGAGAAGGACGGACAAGGCAAGGAAGAGCACAGACATTCACGTAAAGAACGGGCATGTGTATGCTCAGCTTTGCCTATGAGAAACGCTGTGGGAGAGGTAGTGGGACAGGAGAGTAGAGGCAAACATCTGGATGATGAAGATCAAGAGAGTTAGGCTTGTCTCTCGCTATGTATTTTTCTCCCTGAGGAAAGTCTATTGGGCAATTCCTGCGAGCCCATGAGTTTTGTGACAAGTCTTAAGAATGAGAGACTTTATTCAGATTTGTATACTGGATGGCTTTTAGTGTTTGCCTGTTCCCTTATGTCAGCCATTGTAAACATTTGGTACACATTTTCTCTGGTTAGACTAGAATGTCTACTTTTCCCTCAGTTCTTCAGGATTTTCCAGGTAGAAAGATAGAAATGGACTGACTACTTTATGCATGACTTTTAACAGTTTAACATTGTTTTCTAACATACTTAAGTGGAAATTAACACATTAATTGAGGACTTTGTTCCCAGATCATTTAGTGTGTTTGACTGCTTTGTTTATTTGTTCAGGGTCAACATGGAATATCAGGACTTGTCTGTATCTCCCATTAGCCTCCCAGAACAGAATTATTTCTGCTATGTATTTTTCAAATAACAGCTACTGAAACATTCCCTCTACTATGACTTATTTTACATTTCTTAATGTTTTCTATATTTTGTGTATATCTTAAATTTTTGTACTATTTAAGAGCTTGTTGTTTTATTAGACAGTATTGAATATAAAAATATTTAATATTTCTTTTTCAGTTTCCAACCCTTTGTAATCAATATTACAAATTGATCACATTTATTTGTGAGATTTTTCCTGAAAAAATACCCCAGCTTCCTGAGGATCTGTTTAAGAGTCTGATGTATTCCCTAGAACTAGGAATGACATCGTATCCTTTAAATGAGCATTGTTACTTGGGGAGGGGAATGCCTAGTTAAAGTTTTTTAAGTGATTGTTTTTCTCAATCTTTATTCCTTTCTTAACTTTATTCCTTCAAAAAGCTATACCCTCTGTAGTTGCTTTAATTTCTTTTTTTTTTTTTTCTTCCTTTTTCTGGAGAAAGGTTTTCTCTGTGTAGCCTTGGTTGTCCTGTAACTCACTCTGTAGACCAGGCTGGCCCTGAGCTTAGAGATCCACCTGCCTCTGCTTCCCAAGTGCTGGGATCAAAGGTTGGCATTACCCTGCCCAGCTGTTTCTTTTGTGAGTTTATATGATCTGTTCTTTTCATACATCTAGCACCTGGCACCTGGTCTTAAAGTCATTAGTTTAGCTGGTTCTCTAGTCTTAGCTTGCTGACATTATGATTTCATCATCTGTATGATCATCTGCAGAAACAAGCTAGACATCACTGGACCTGGACTCAAAACTCTGAGAGACCATCTTAACTGCTAACTCAGTCAAAACATTGCAGTACCCCCACCATTTGTATTTATGTGTGAATGTAGCTGTCATTTTCTGATCATTTATAAAGTCGGGTATGTCAGATACAGTTTGCTCTTTGACCATGTGTTCAGAATGAGTTCGGAAGTATGCCAGCTCTGTCTTGAGGCCTTGACACCATTAGCTGAACAGTGTGCTAAAGCACAAGAAACGGATTCACCACTCTTTGTAGCAACTCGGCATTTCCTTAAGGTAAGATGTTTTATCGATAAGTTGGAGAATCATCTGCTTAGCCAAGCTGAGTGGTACTTGCCTGCCTTGGCAACTAATGAGGAGGCAGAGGCACAGTACTGCCTCAGGTACAGAGTGAATTCAAGGTCATTCTGAGCAACTTAGCAAGACATCTCCCATAGTAAAAAGAGGAGCTTTTATTTCTATGTGTGTGGTGTTTTGTCTAGATAGATGTCTGTGTCACATGAATACCTGGTAACTGTGGAAACCAGAAAAGGGCATCAGATCCCCCTGGAACTGGAATTACAGATTGTTGTGAGCTACCATGTGAATGCTAGGTCCTCTGGGAAGGCAACCAGCACTCTTAACCATTGAGCCATCTTGCCTGGCCTATGAAATTCTTGATTCAAATGAAGATGTACTTACATGCGTTTAGATAGGAGCAGGTACTTTATTCACTGTTTGTTGTTGTTGTGTGTTGGTTTGGTTTGGTTTTGGCTTTTTCAGACTGGGTTTCTCTGTATAGCTGTGGCTATTGGGGAACTTGCTATAGAGACCAGGCTGGCCTCAGAAATTCACTTGCCTTTGCCTCCAAGTGCTGGGATCAAAGGTATGCGGAAACCAGTTCTTCAGGAACGTGTTCTTTTCCACTTCTATATTGGGTTTTTTGTTGTTTTGTTTTGTTTTTCAAGACAGGGTTTCTCTGTAGCCCTGACTGTCCTGGAACTCGCTCTGTAGACTTGGCTGGCCTCGAACTTAGAGATCCACATGCCACCGCCTTCCTGGTGCTGTGATTAAAGGTGTGCCCCCTCCGTCCAGCCTATTTTGTGTTATTGAACTATCCTGTAAATATCATGGGGAGTTTGATACTTTTACTTTAGATTCCACAGAAAATAACATCTGTGTGTTTTCCTTGGATTAAAAAATGATTGCATAAATTAATTGGTTAATGCAAGAAATAGACTATAACTGCCATCCCTTTTTCAGGACAGAGGGACTGGGGTTTAAATAGTTACGTATTGCTCACAACCATAAATATAAGAGTTTGGTTCCCAGCACCCACGGCTGTCTCTCCAACCACCAAAAAAAAAAAAAAAGTGTTTTATGGATATGTCTTATTATGTACTTTCAGCTGGTTTTTGATATGCTGGTCTTGCAAAAGCACAACACGGAGATGACTACTGCAGCAGGAGAAGCTTTCTACACATTGGTGTGTTTGCACCAGGTATTGTACCCCCTCTCCCATGTGGGGAGAAGATGGCCTTGCACACCAGCTCTCCATCAAGCCAGGACTTGAAGACCCAGTTCCATGTCCCCCAAGGAGGTGTTTCTCAGCTTCCCCATGAGCACTAGGATTGTGTTTTATATTTATAGACAATCTGTTTGTCAATCAAAAGATTTTTTTTTTCCCCGTCTCTGTTTTGAGCCAAGAGTTTGGCCTTGGCCACCTGTGCTAGGAGGCAGGTGAATGTATGCAGTTGAGTGGTGTCTTTGAGGGATTGAGACTTCATGAAAGTGTCAAGGTCAATCAGATTGGGAGGCAAGAGTTTGCCTTCAGAGAGTGTTAAGAACAGAGTAGTGTCTTGTGTAGTGTTTTGAATACAATTATTTTGTTGATCTTTTAAGATCCTAAAACACCATTGCTGTGCAATTAGTGTAACAGAAGCTCGCTGCTCCCTGATCTGAAAAAAATGCCTGCCACGTATATAAAGGAACAAGTTGGGGCATGCACAGCTTAATTTTCCATTTCCCTCATACCTCTTAGTATGGTCAAATGAGTGGTGGAGAAGCATTGCCTTCCTAAAACCAGTAGAGCTTAGCAAAGGCCCCCTCTTCCAGACATTTTGTACTGTGCATACCTCAGGCCGCAAGTGCCCTTGGCCTTCCTTTTCTGTGCTGGTCTCCTGTGGCAGCTTCCCACCAGTGTTTTCTTACAGCGTGTGCTCTTTTCTTTCACAGTGGTTACTAAGACATGATGGGCTTCTTTTCCCACGTGTATGAGCCAGTACATTCTAATTATCTTTTTGAGGGTCTTTAGATTTTTATGTTTTAGAGAAGCACAAGAGGGACTAGGAGGGTGGCTCAGAGGGCACTTTAGGTACTTGCCACTAAGCTTGACAACTGGAGCTCACGCCTTGAGTCCTGTGTACATGTGCAAGGAGGGAACCAGTTCTGCAAGATGTTTCTACACACACACACAAATAAATAACTGTAAAACGTTTCTTAGAAATAATACTGAGAGGGAGGGTGAGACTGTGAGGAGAGAAGGGAGGGGCCTATGACTGAGATGTAAATTGAATTAATTAATTATTAATTAATAAAAAAAATATGAGCATGGTGAAAAGAGAGGACCAGTTCTGAAAGCACATATAGCACATGCACATACAGAAGTGTCTAAATTTTTTTTTTTGTTCTGTTTTTGAAAAAAAAAAAAGAAAAGAGCAGGCACTTTGGAGCTGCCAGTGTGACTCTGCGTGGCCCCAGAAGCGCTGCTCTTTCTTGGCAGATGGGAGATTGTTTGAGATGATACTAGCCTCCTGAGCAGACCTGTCCTTTGCAGAGGGCAGTTTAGCCAGCCACCCTGGCTCTGTGCTGTAGATAGTAGGGTCAGGGTGTTGGGAGACTATACCCTACTTCCCTTTACTCTATATAATATCTAATTTTCCAACTTAGCTGTTGTAATATCCCAGGAAGCTCATGAAAATTAATGTCAGGCCAGCTTTCTCCACAGCACTTCTCTGTCCTAGGTGACTTTCTGTTAAGACTCTGCCCACTCACCTGTATACTAATGTATGAAAGAGGATATTAAAAATAGAAGATGCCATCACTGTGTTATCTGTGTCCTTTATCCAAAGCTGTTGCCTACAGTGATGGCTTGACTTTCAAAGTGTTCTGCTTCTACTTTGAAAGAGTTCTCAGCCCTTCTCCATGTTCCCTGCTGCTGTGCCTCTGCTGTCCTCAGAACTGGGAGGACAAGGTATTTATTTACATGTGCTGCTAGTGAACTTTTCACCTTCATATTACAGGCCTAGGAGACACATGCAAAATGCAGACTAACTAGAAGAGGCAGAACCACAAAGCTGGGACCATGTGGGCCTGGAGCAGATTGCTTGTACTCTTGTTTCATAGCAGTGTGGTTTTGAGTATATTACTTCATCTGTAAATGGAATATTAATAGTGTCTCTCTTATAGAACCATAGGTATTAAATGAATTAGCCCACAGAGAAGGCGAGAATTGTACCCAAACACTAAACTATTGGGAAGAGTTGTCTGCCCTGGCTAGGATCCCCAAGAAAGATATTCTTATGGCTATCTTGTTTTTCCTGCAGGCTGAGTATTCTGAACTGGTTGAGACATTACTGTCAAGTCAACAAGACCCAGTCATTTACCAGAGATTAGCAGATGCCTTCAACAAGCTCACTGCAAGCAGCACTCCTCCTACCCTGGATCGGAAGCAGAAGATGGCCTTCCTAAAGAGTTTAGAAGAATTTATGGCAAATGTTGGTGGTCTCCTTTGTGTAAAATAAACAACAGAGCTATATGCTTAACTTAGATCCTTTCTGCAAAGTGCACTGAATTGCTGAAAGTTGACTTGAGTCTTGTCCTGTTCCTCAGTTCATTTGACCATTTTGGATTTTGGAGAGCCTGAGACTTTGACGTGGAGATGGTGAAACAGGAGAGGTCAACTTGAGATCAGCTTCTGTCATTAGGTGTTGGCCATGATCTGCCATATACTTGTCTTCTAGATTCTGAATGGTGATTTAAATTTTTCAAAATGCAATTCTGTATATGTGCATACAGATATGGGCACCATGAAATTCATATTCAGTGCCTTTTCCCCTTTTATCAAAGCATAGATGGCTAGCCAAAGTTGATATGTTCTTGGCGTTATTTTTCAAAATGTCTCCCTCATCACTTGAGCTGGTTGTAGGAATGGATTCTTGGGCCCTGCTGTGCATCATCAAAATATTTGGTTGTTAGACTCTGCAGTCTTTATTTTAGTAAGCTCCCACCCCCACCGTTACCCTCAAAGTTTTGAATCAATGCAAGAGATGCTATAAGAGATTTTGTGCTTTCCAACGTTTCCTTCCTTCAGTGATTATGCAGGAAGAAAAGTCATCACCAAGTGTTTGTTAGTTTCACAGTTCATCTTTTCCCTGCTTCCTCACTTCCTTCCCTTTCATCCTCAGTGTTGCAGGTTTTGTATAATTATTGCAGGTTTCTAATCAGACTGTGATGCCTGAACTTGAGGAAAAAGTGTGTATATTTTTGTTCCATAAGAATAACTTTAGGAACTGTAGCCATTTCATTGCCTTAATTTTAAGAGGAAAAGAGAAACCAGATTTGTTTTAGAGCAAAATTAAGCCTTGACACTTAAGAGTTGGCTTAGGGTATTAGCTGCTATGAACCTCTTGCCCCTTTGATTATGTATTTATGTGAGTTTATCAGTGAAATGAAAGGAGCATCCCTGTGTGGTTACCTTTCTCAGTGTGTTTCTGTCCAGCCACACAGCCCATATCTATTCTGAATGGCTTGCTTAAGCAATAACTTTTTACTAATTGCATAGACTATTGCACATTGGGGCATTAGGGGCAATAATTATGCTAAAGTGGGTGTTCTCCTCATGTCACAGGAGCCACACTAATTCAATTTCAAAGACTAAAAATTTAACCTTAGCTAGGCATGGTGGCACATGCCTATATTCCTAGCATTTAGGAAGCTGAGTGTGATGGCCAGGCTAGTCTAGGGACAAAGTATGATCCGTCTTTTAAAAAGAGAAAAATTCACTTTAGATTCTCTGGCTTTTCTAATCAGGATTTTTATACTGCTGCCGTGTTCCTCTTAATTTTTGTGCCTGCTTTAATTATTGAAAGGAAAGCTCATTTATACACAGCAGGCCTCTGACATGCCCACTGCTGAACCAGGCACACAGCGCAGTGGCAACAAGAGGTCTCTACCCAGGTGCATCTGAGACTGCCGTGGAGGGGCAGGCTCCTCTGCTGACCTTTACACCTCTCTGCTAAAGCATCCAGCAGGTACTGGCCTCCTGCCTGAGCTGCACAGTGTGTGCATCTTAACAGATGATGCTCTGGGAAGTTTGAGTAATGTATAAACAGAGCATCTAAACTCCATCCCCCCGTACATGTGACGGTAGGTGTGCACAGATACAAAGCTGAGGGCCATGAGTTTATTGAGAATCCTTTATTGGCCACCATTTAGTAACAGTAAGTACGGAGAGAAAAAATCTAAATATTGCAAAGAAGAAAAACAATATTCCTTTAACTACATGCTTTCTATTTTAAATACTTGGAAAGGTTGTTTTTAGATCTTTTTTTCCTCTTTACTTGAAGTGATCTGCAGCAGCAGTCACTCTGTTCTCTCGTTCTTGATGTCTGTATTTCCTCAGCAGGTGTTGTTTGTGTGTACCTGTGTGTGTGAAGGGTATGAGCCTTTTGCCAGAAGGCCCTAAGATGCAACCGAATAGATAGGTCACTGCCAGGACAGAGCAGTTACCAAATTTAAGTAGACATGTGTATGAATGCTTTGGTAAATAACCAGGCATCTTCTATGTATAATAACTTCTATTCAGACAGAACTATATTTATTAAATTTGCCCAGATCCTGGTATGATGCTCCAACTCTGTTACACCACTTTTAATTGAAGGAAGACTTATTTTAGATTGGACCAAATAATGCTCAAATGATCACCAGAATGTTGATTAGTGGCAAACTGAGGCTAAAAAGACACCGCCATATTTTAGATAATGGGACTGCCACTTCTTGTACCACCTAGACATTTCAGGGTGTTTGTCTATTTTGTTTGCTTTATTCAGTGTTTAGTGTGTTTTATTTTGCCCAGTTTTGTTTTTAGCTTTGTTTACTAGGGCATCGTGAACTTCTGACCTTTATAAAGGCTCCACTTTCTTGATGCTCTTGCTCCAGCGAGTGTTGAGGCCACTGAATTCATGCTCAAGAGCTAGTTTTTCAAATTAAAACTGACTGTTAAGTTGTTGAAAATATTTTTGAAACAAAAGCTATATGTGCCCTTTTTAAAATACGTATTGAAAGGACACTTGTTAAGTATTTGATTTTTTTCAATTTTTGTGTTAAATTTCATTTGTTCATAGAGTATCTTTTAGCCTCTATTTTTTCAATACTTTTGTTACTTTGCCTCATTTTATGCTTACTCACCATTGTTTCCCAGGGCACGATCACTAAGTAATCACACAGTCACTAGGGAGGCTGCGTGCCAACAGTGGTGCTCGTGTAACAGCTCCTGCCACTGAGCTCTTGTAGGGCTCTGGAAAGGGTAGGGATGGATGTCTTTGTGTTGGGTTGGTGGCTCTCTGGATAGCTCAGCTAATTGATAGGATTTGACAGTGTCCTTTCCAACATAGTAGCTGACTCTTATTCTGGTGGAAGACTGTTATGTCAACATGACTGCACTGTTTTTGTTGGGTACAAATGACATTTTGTGTATACTTTGTAATTTTTACCCCAAACTTAACTTTAAAACTTCAGATTTATTATATGGAAAAATATCTCTTACTCTGTTCAGATGAGTTAATTACTACTCTGTCACAGTTTTACCCAAAAACTAAACAGATACAGTTTTCAACACTTTTTTGAAGCTCCTTCTGTATAGTCAACCTATCTTTTGTTTGTTAATAATTGTACCAGTCCCTCGAGGACTGAAGGGAAGCTAGCTGTCAGTTTTGAGTATTTCGGGCCAGAGTCTCTTAGGGGATAGATAGTGTTGATTGAACCCTGAAAATATTTTTCTTACATTTTTACATATATTTTGTTTGTTATCTCTGTTATTAGAGGTAATTGTCATTGGCCCTTCCTAAGTTAAGCTGTCTTACAAGTAATTATCAATATTGGTTTCTGAATAAAACATGTAGCGTTTCAAGTCCAAAGGAACTGCAGTGTTATGCAGGGGTGTCTTTTTTTTTTTTTTTAAGGAAGAGTAATGAACTTATTTGGATAGGAGGTTTTTAATATTATAATTTTCTACAAAAGTTCCCACAGGATAACAGAGATGATTTGGGGATGTAATAGTATTTTAAATTATTTGAAAATGTAAGTATATGTTCTCTTGACTTTTTCTGAAACACTGCATTTCTTTAAAACTTGGCTTTCTAGAATTAGAAAGAAAAAAAATATCCAAATTAGACATCTTGTTGCATTTAAGTTTATTTAAAGGGCCGTGGCTCAGGTTGAATTTCATTTTACTTTCTGCATAAGAACTGTGGCATCTTCCCGGGTGATTATAATGGGAAACCATGACATTTGTAGCCAAAGAATATATTTGGTTCAGGTAAAACTAGAAGATTAATAATGGACATTCATTTTGTTACTTTTGAAGATGGATGAAGAGATGTTTCTATTGTGTAGATGTGTATGTGGAGTCTGTGAAGACTGAGGTCTTCAGCTGTGGTGGTGATTCCCGCCTGCAGAGTGGGAGGTGTGTGGCTGGCATTTGGCAGCTCCCTGACCCACTGTGGCCTGTTCTTCACCTGTTTCCAGAACTTCCCAGTCGTGGGATGATTTGGATTTCTTGTCCTGTCTGCATTTTAGGCCTCTTAGCTATTAGGAGCTGTCAGGTGTGTTCTGGCAGCAAATTACCCTAGCTTGAAGTAATTTACCATGTCTGCACTATGTACCTACTGGGGGTGGGGGTGGGGAATCTGACCTCAAGTGTGCTCTGAGCCCAGGTTTCCTGGTATGGTGTCTTTTACCACGAAATTATGACAAATTGCAAATCCTGGTATCGTGATCTTATTCTCTGTATAAAGAAAGAAGCTCTATGCAGTGAGCTGTGGTTTAGTGGTCACAGAATGTCAGCACTGCTATCATTCAGCACGTGTAACATTTTTACATTTATAAAGATTAAACTTTTAAACTTACACTAAGACTTTTTAGTTTTTTTTTTTTTAAGAGACCCAGGGATGAGTATACTGTTTAAATATTTACCTCTATTAATATAACTAATGAAGGCATTTAATTTTTCAAAAGATACTGCAGTATGATTTTAGGAAATAAACCTAAATGTGTTGAACCGATTATAACCTGAATATCAAATTGATAAAACTTTATTTGTATTTTTTAATCCATCAATGGGCTTTAAAATATGTGTTTTCACTAAATATTTTTATTACATTTTTGGTTTGACCATGTGTGATTTATTCATGGGTGCTGTCTTAATCAGGGTTCTATTGCTGTGAAGTGACACCATGACAATGGCAATTCTTGTGAAAGAAAGTGATTAATTGGGGCTGATTTACAGTTTCAGAGGTTTAAACATTATTATCATGGTGGGGAGCATGGTGCTGGAGAAGGAGCTGAGAATTATACATCCAGATCTGCAGGCAGCAAAAAGAGAACCTGTCTTGGAGCCCACTTCCGTAACACACTTCCTCTAATAAAGCCACACCTCCTAATCCTTTCAAATAGTGCCATTCCCTAGTGACCAAACATTCAAATCTATGAACCTATAGGGCCATTCTTATTCACACCACCACATTCCACTCCCTGATCTCTATAGGCTTTTAGCAATATCATAAAGACTGCAAAATTCTCCATAGTCTATTATAGCAGTCTCAACAATATTTAAAATTTTTAAGTCTCAAAAAAAAAAAAGTCTCAAGTCTCTTCTGAGACTTAATGGAGCTCTCTTAAATGTAATCCCCTGTAAAATAAAAAAGTGGGTCATATATATCCAACATATAGTAACAGGATATACATTACTATTCCATAGAGGAGCATAGGGAGGAAATACTGGAACAAAAACAAGAACAGAAACCACTAGGGCAGACTCGTCTGGTGTCAAAGTGCTCTTCAGATCTCCATCTCCTTTCAGCTTTGTTGATTGTAGCACACATCTCCTCTTCCCTTACTCTTGCTTCCCCCCACCCCCAGCAGCTTTTCTCAGCAAGTACCCCACAGCTGTAACCTCAACATCTTGGGGGCTCCAAGGAAATCCTGGCTCCACCTTCACAGCTTCATACAATGGCCTCCCTGGGCATCCATTCAGAGACATGCCTGACTTATGTTTGTGACCTCAGCAGCTTTGTTTAGTAATGGAGAAAGATTGCCAAAACCCTTTTATTTTCTTTATTTTTTGACTCTAAAGCCAGAACCATGTGGCCAAAGCTGCCAAGCACTGCTGCTTGTTGGGGCTGGCACTTGGCTTCCTGGTTCCCTACTTCCCTTACATTCGCACTGTTGTTGATGGTTTCCTTTCCTGCTTAAGCTTTTCTTTATTTCCTTTTAAAAGTTGGAATCTTAGCTGGGTGTGGTCTTGCTCTCAGGTTGCCATACCCTTTATCCCATCTAGCATCAGGCTTTAAGTTTTTTGTCTCCTTGAGCACCGAATTTAGCTCCATCACAGTTCCTGGCGCTCTTTTTTTCCCCTCAAACTACATTTTCTATTTTTCTTGCTCAATTTGCGCCTTTTCATTACAGATCTGCCTAAGACTGACCACTAGTAATCACATGACAGTCAATGATACTAGGCTGCTTGAAATCTTTTCTCTTCCAAAACTTCAGTTTAGCCTTGGGCAGATTTTTGGACAAGGGCAGAAAGCCATATCCATATTCACCAAAATATCACAAGAACAGTCTCAGGAACTTAAAGCCAGGCCAGCCTAAACTATAGCACTCTCTTAAATGCTCCAGGTATGGCCCATTAAGCCCACTTAAAGCATTCAACAGCTTTCATAATCTGAAGATCACCAACAAGCATATTAGGCCTGTCACAGTAATACCCCACTCATGGTACTAACTTCTGACTTGTTCTATTGCTGTGAAGAGAACCATGACAACTCTTATAAAGGAAAACATTTAATTAGCACTGGCAATTTCAGTTTCAGAGGTCTAGTCCATTATCATCATATCATCATGGTGGAACATAGGTAGACATGGTGCTGGAGAAATAGCTGAGAATTCTACATCCAGATCTGCAGGCAGTGGGAAGAGAGAGCAACTCTGGGCCTGACTTGGACTTTTGAAACCTCAAAGCCCACCTGCAACAAAGCAACACCTCCTAATTCCTTTGAAATAGTGCCACTTCCTGGTGTACAAACATTCAAATCTATGAGCCTATGGGGAGCTTTTATTCAAATCACTGAAGGTGCTTGTTGGTTCTCTGTGATGTGTAGACACTACACTAGGTATATTGTAAATCGTTAAAATAATTTATTTTTAAGCGGTGGCTCTGTAAAGAGTTTGTGTGGGTGAGTACAGGGGTGGGAAGAAGTTGGATACCCTAGAGCTCAGGTTATGGGCATTTGTGAGCTGATGTGGGAACAGTGTGTGGCCTTAACATCTGACCTATCTCCAGCCCAGGTTCACCCCAAATAATTTCAAAGGAAATAGATGATACAACTGAAATCAAGACCTGCATTAGTTTGTAGGAATATCCCAGAATCCTCAGGATATCTAGTATTCAGAGAGAAATCAAAATGTTCCTAATAATCTCTAATGTTCTCCCATCCCATGGCTTAAGAAATAATTTCAATATGATTGGTTAAATCGGGGGTGGGGGAATTAAGAGTAAAGGGCTCAGGGGTTGAAGTCCTCTTTGGCCTTCCAGGGTGGTGGGGAATTGCCAGGGTTTTTCTGCACACCTTCATTCTTTGCTCTATTTTAAATCCTCTCTATACATGGAGGAGGAACCAAATTTTGTGTGTGCGTGTGCGAGAGCGCTGCTGTGCACTCCAGAGCATGTGAGCACACCTGGGCAGAGGCAAGAGGAGGCTGTCAGGTGGCCTGCTCTATGACTCTCAGTCTTACTCCCTAGGGTCAGGGTCTCTCATTGAGGTGGGGTCTGGGCTGGCAGTCAGATGCCTAGGTGATTCTTCTCTTCTCTCTCCCAAATGGTTCCAGGGTGACAGCCGTGCACAGCCACAGTAGGGGGATGCTGTGGGTGCTGGGATTTGAATTCAGGTCCTCCTAACATATGCTGAACCATCTGTTCAGCCCCAGAAGCTATTTCTTAAAGGAAGAAAATGTATTTTGGAAATATATATTTAACTTGATTTTGTTTTGAATAATCATAATGTTTCTTGTGTTTGGAATTTTGTTTCCTCTCTCCATGTTACAGGCAGAGAACCATATATGTAGGCACAAAACATCTGAGGGCTAGCTGGAAAGGTCCAAAATATAAAATTGTTTTTTTAAAGTTATATTTAAAACTACTAAATGGTATTCTACGTAAATGCAATATTAAATGGTTTGGGTTTGACCTATACATGTTGATTTCATTATGGAAATGTGTTTTTTTAATATATTTATTAAATGGAAGATTCTTGATAGGATCTTGTGCCTTCTGTATTGCCTAAAATGACATCTCCATTAAACTTTAAAACTAAGTGGAAACAAAGAGCATTGTTGATGAAATCCAAGAGGTAAGTCTTGTGCGTGAAGTTCTATACGGCATTTGCTATAAATCTGAGCAAATGAGTCACCAACCTACTGATCTGTGTGGAGTGGATTTTAACAGAGAGCACGACCAGCTGGGTAAAATCACTGGCGTTTCCAGAGATGACTAGGGGGGAAACTACTATCAAGGCAGGAGAGATGGTGCAGTGATTAAGAACGCTTGTTCATGCCAAAGACCCAAGTTTGATTCTCAGCATCCATATGATGGCTCACGACCACCCACAATTCCAGTTCCAGGGGATACAACATCTGGCCTCCTGAGCTCTGAATGCATATACTGTGTAGCATACATGCACACAAAACACCCACACACAAAATAAGATTTTTTTAAAGCCCTTTATCAAGTTGCTGAATGGCATCAGCAGCTGAGCGATTCATTTATGCCACGAATGATTTAGAGCTGCTCACCCAGATCACGAAATCCGTGAGAGAACAACAGGCACATAATGTAGTTGGGCTGCCCTTGGGAAAGGAAGAAAATGACATGCGATCTGATAACTGCTTAGTTTTAATTAAGGTACACTGTGTGCCAGCTACCATGAAACGTAGTTTAGTTGGTATAATGTGTTTATATACTACTGTGGCTTCACCGAAAGTTCTGAAAGGCCAACGGGTTTGGAAGATTTTCTGAATCCCGTTGATATTAGGATCCTTGATTGTTTCAGTCAGTGTTTCAATTGTAAGACTGACTGGACAACCACTGGTACAAAACAGCCAGACTACCCCAACCTAATGAAAGCCGTCCCTGGGGAAGCCACCCGGAACCCTGACGCCCACCGGGCGGCGAGAGCCCGGCGAGGCCGCTCCGCCCGCTCTGCGCCTGCGCACACGCGGCAGCGCCGCCCCACGCACGGCTTCTGCGCACCGGGCGGACTGCGCATGGTCAGTGGTGAGTGGCGGCCGCGGAGTGGGGCGGCCGTGGGCTGAGGGCGGTTCCGGGTGGGTTCCGTGGAGACTGTAGCGGGGCGGGGCTTTCCGTCCACCCCGACGCTTTGCGACTTTCTCCGTGGGTGGTGTGGGCACGAGACGGGGCGGCCACGCGCAGGACACGGGCCTTAGCGAGGGCTTGGCCGCCAGGGCCGTCCATCCGCCTTAGCACGAGTTTGTGGTTTGCGTTCTCGGTGGAAGTTTCCTCTCGGGTTGTGACTGGGTTCATTATTTTGAGAGCATCTCACTGTAGCCAGGCTGGCCTCGAACTCGGTGATCCTCTAGAGCTAGCGTTAATGCCTGCCGTCCTCACACCCAACAGTCTTTCTCTTAAAAACAAATTAGAGGATAAGTTGTATTCAGAAGCGGGAGGGCAGGTTTGGCTAAGACAGACAGCCTTGTATGAAAATGAAAGCACAAGACTTCATAGCAGGTTGGGGAGTGGGGTGGCAGCAGCGCACTCTTTAAATCCCAGCACCCCGGAGGCAGAGGCAGGAGAACCTATGTGAGTTCGAGGCCAGCCTGGTCTACACAGCGAGTCCAGGACAAAGCTACACAAACAAACCCTGGCTCTATAAACAAATAATTTTTTAGAGGATATGTACCAGGCACGTTTAACCTTTGGCATTGCAGAATGACTGCTGTCCACAGAATTCGTGCTCAGAAAGGAACAGCTGAGTTGAAAAAGAAAAAAAAAAAAAAAAAAAAAAAAAAAAAAATCCTGGGCGCATGTGTCTGTGAGCCACAGGTTGAGAAAGCCTGAGAGGCCGTTTTCTTCCATTCGCCTGCTACTATAGGTACCCTCCTCCCTGCAGTTACTGACGACCCTGGGGTGAAACTTTGGTAGACTCTCTTTCTGCAGGCTTATGCTGTCTTGACCTAAGTGTCTTGCAGAAGTTAGGATAGTGCTGTATGGAAACATACAGCATAGTCAGCTTTTTGATGTTGTTTCGGTAATAGAAGATTTTTATACAAAGAGTCCCAGCCAGGTGAGAGGGTGGCACACACCTGCCTGTAATCCCAGGAGGCAGAGGCAGGCGGAGAGCTATGAGTTTGAGACCAGCCCCAGCCTGGTCTATAGAGCAAGTCCAGGACATCCAAGACATTTTCTTTCTGTCTCAAGAAAAAAAAAAAAAACACAAAAAAAGAATCCCTGCTACTAATGATCCTGCAGACTTCCTTTGCTCTTGGCGTCCCGTCTTCCTGCAATCCCGTTCCCATGCCTTCCTATAAGGTAAACTTGCTGCTTTGCTTCTTTCAGCTGGTCCCCCAGTGCTGAGCCAGGCTGTCACAGAGCATTCCCCACATTGCCATTTGCCTCTGAAGTTTCTCAACCTCAGCGTTAAGGGCTTTTCCAGCTGGATATATCTTTAAGTGGAGCGCTGTCCCGTGAGCTATAGAAAAGCCAGCAAAGGCCAGCTACAGCTGTCTACAGCTGGCCTTTACCCACTGGTTGCCAGCAGTGGCCTTGATTGTGAAAGCCAAAAATCTTTGCAGATGATGGCAAGTGTTTCTCCAGAAGAGTGACTCCTGGTTCTCCCAGGAGAACCACTGAGCCAGAGCCAGGAAATACCAACGGCCCTTTCAGGCCTGCTTGACAGAATTTCACAAACCCACTGTGTAGAAACAGTATAAAACAGACACATGGGGTAGCACATACCTGTGATCTCAGGAAGCTGTGGCAGTCGGTCATGAGTTTGGGTCTAGCCTAGGCTACATAGGACAGTCTAGGCTATATAATGAAACCCCGTCTTCCATATTCCTTCCCCCACAAAAAAAAAAAGGTTAATAATGACAGAAACTTCTGCCTTCCACTGCTACTTTAGTAAATAGAACTTTACCCAGCATGGTCCTGGAACACAGAGGTAAGCACTATTTAATCTTACGGCTTTGATGCACTTGTTTTCAGTTGCATACTTTTGAACTCTACTTAAATGAAGTTGCTTGTATTTTCTGGGTGTAGTCCTGGGCATTAACCAGTTTTGCACATGCTGTACAAGCACTCTGCTACTAAGCTATACCCTAAGCCCTTAATATTTTATTACAGGATATCACTAAGTTTTATATATGTATATTCATATACATGTATGAATATATAGGATAGATTTTTAGGAAGAGGAGGGACTGTGATAGGCAAGACTTCTGTGTATGCAAAATTAAATTTAATATTTTAGCCTTTTTCTGGAAATTGGTAGGATCTAAAAAAACAGCAATATATGAAGGTCCTTTTATACTCGTGATCCTTTCTCATCTAAGAAACTTTTTGGCAGCCGGGCGTGGTGGTGCATACCTGTAATGCCAGCACTCAGGGAGGCAGAAGCAGGTGGATTTCTGTGAGTTTGAGGCTAGCCTTGTCTACAAAGTGAGTCCAGGATAGCCAAGGCTACACAGAGAAACCCTGTCTCAAAAAACAAACAAAAAGTCATCTTTCATACATATGCATATAAAATAATAAAATCAAACATTTACTGATAGTAAGCATAAATTTTATTTTTTATTGTCTATTCTTGGGCCCTTTGCATGTATGATCCCTTGGAGCTGGAGTTACAGATGAGCCAGCACATGGGTGTTGGGAACTGAGCCCAGGTCCTCTGCAAGAGCAGCCTCTGCTCTTAACCACTAAGCCATCTCTCCAGCCCCCATAACTTTATTTTAAAGCAATTTGCTGTACATACAGTTTTACTATTCAACAAAAAGACAGAATTGCATACTAACAGACATACTTGATTCTTTTTACATAATGGATTAAGTCATGGCTGAATATTTAGTACTGAGGATGCAGAGTGTCACCAACATTTCCAAGAGCTGGTCAGCTGTCTTGTCATTAGGTAGAACACTTCAAATAAGTGTGTGCTGTGAATTGTAGGTATCTCATGAGTGTCATCTTAGGAACTTTAATTACAAGGGAGATTTTATTAAATGACTTTATGAAACTCAAGTTGACTAGTTCCAACACCATTTTCTTTTTCAATTTTAAAAAAATTCTGTGTTCTTTTGTGTGTGTGTGCAAGTGCCCGAGGAAGCCAGAAGAGGCACGGATCCCCCGGAGCTGGAGTGACACAGTTACCAGCCTCGCAGTGGGGGTGCTGGGGACCAAACTCGGGTCCTCTGCAAGAACAGTGTGTGCTCTTAACTGCTGCACCATTTCTCCAGGCCCACAAACAACAAATATCCGAACTCAGTCCAACCCAAAGCTACTAATTTGATTCTTAAGTGCTGAGGAATGCAGTAGGAAAATGTCAAGTCTGTTTTCTGTGACTCATTCTGTAAGAGCAGAGAACTGCAGAGAGCAGACAGCGCAGTCGAGGTGTGGTAGACTTGTGTCTGCGCGGAGCTGTGAGGCAGCACGCACTGGCGTTGTGCAGTTTGATGCCGTGCCTCGTGTGTGCAGAAGCAAGGCAGCTGTGAAGTGCAGCACCGTGCCACACAGGACAGCCTCGGAGTCATGTGCCGACTTTTCAATTAACTTTTGGTTGTTGCATGTTTACCAGTGTTTACCAATGCCACCCCACCCTCCATGCACATTTAGCTATGAAACCTCATGTATGAGGCCACAACCCTCAGTTTAAGGCGTTAAAGAACATCTAGGCTATGCATATATGTTTGTCAAGACTTTTGGCACTAGGTAACTAAGCACAGTGACCCCTTCTCGGGGACCAGGCATTCGTGTGGTGCACAGACATACATGAAGGCCAAACACCCATACAGGTTAAATAGAAAAAGAAAGGGAAAAGATTAAACATAAAACAAAAAAAGCTGGCTTAGTGGCACACACCTTTAATTTCAGCACTGGAGAGGCGGAGGCAGAGGCAGTGTATGCAGTGTATCTGAGATCGAGGCCAGCTGGTCTACAGAGAGAATTCCAGGACAGCCAGGGCTGTTACACAGAGAAACCCTACCTCAAAAAAAAAAAAAAAAAAAAAAAAAAAGAGAGAGAGAAAAGAAAAAAACAAAAAACAACCAAACAAAAGAACATTTTAAGTGTAGCTAGGAAAAGGCTTCCTGTTTGTAGAGATGAAAACTGCAATGTCAAAGAGGAAAATTGGGGGATTGCTGAGGTGGTTCCGTGAGGAAAGCCTGTTGCCCTGAGTTCCTTACCCAGAGCCCACATGGCCAAGGTTTTTATCAAAACTGATACAAAACTGTAAACTCCACAGGTCCAAGGGCCTCAGTAAACCCAAAGTACTAGTGACCTGTAGAAAGTGCAGCAGGGGCAGGAGTAAATCTTACAGAAAACGCTTACAGACTCTGGGGAAGAAAGACACAAACGAACCTGAGTGCTTTCTTTAGAGCGCACTCTGTGCGCACATGCAGGTGTGGCTCGGCACCTCTGGGGAGGTCAGAGGACCCCCCACAGTGCCTCCATGTAACCCTGGCAGGCAGATCTCTGCCAGTTCGAGGCCTGGTCTACAGAGTGAGTTCTAGGACAGCTAGGGCTACACCGAAAAACCCCGTCTCAGAAAAAAGAAAAGAAAAGAAAAGAAAAATAATTTTTTGTCCTCATTGTTTCTGGGTGGACAGAGGAAACAAGTCCATCCACATATTCTTGCTCTGCACGGCGCTGACAGTTTGTGAAATGAGTGATTCGGAAGATGATGAGATACCACAGCTTTCTTCCCACACCTTAGCAGCTCTCCAGGAATTTTATGCTGAGCAGAAGCAAGCCGCCAGCCCAGGAGGGGATGACAAATATAGCGTCGGGGCAATAGAGGAGAACTGGGTGAGTGAAAGCATCCATATTGGGAAGCAGCACCTTGCCGCTCCCCGCTGCCTGGCCACTGCCCCGCCTATCTTCCCTCTACCCCCTGGCACGCAGGAACTGAGAGCTGTATAGGGAGCAAGGGCAGAAAGCAGACACGGCCGGCCGGGACAGTACGTGCAGGTCTTCCTGGCTCTGACCAGCAGGCCGGCTGGCGATCAGAGGAGGAGTGTACCGGTAGTGGGACAAGAATGTCCCGTCCATAAGTAACTAATGCTTTGTTCTTGGGTAGAGGCTCACCCTGTTGGTTTTCATAGAACCCGGCAGGCCAGTAAAAGGGGTAGCTGAACTGAAACGTGCAATGAGAGACTGATGAGAGAATTTTTAAGAACAGGTTAATTTCTAATTTTATACATTAAGGTAGGTACGGGGCAGTGGTTCATACCTGTAATCCTAGAGCCCAGGAGGCAGGGTCAGGAGGCTCAAGCAGCCTTAGGTCCACCTCGGCTGCACAGTGAGTTTAGGGACAGCCTGGGATACATAGCAAACCATTGTCTAAAAAAAATTAAAATTAAAAAGTAGGAATTAAAAAATAAAACTACTAAGGAAAACCCCTAACCTGAATACTTTGAAGTATCAGCTGAGTAACAAGGTCCTAAATGTGTCTGCTGACTGTGAAGTAACAGTCTTTCCCTGTCACTGGGTAGTGGAGAAAGGTCTTATGTCTTGTTTGTTTGTTTTTTCTTTCAATTTTTGGCATTTTGTTCCCAGTTTAGAGCTTTAAGGTATATGAAGGTTTTCTCACCACCCCCAACCCCACTTAAAACCACATTATAAAAATGTTCCTTTTCCTTTACTCCACATGTTCTTCCTAATCAATCGCCTGGTTCTCATGATCTTCTTTCCTTGTGTGTTTTTGTTGTTTTGTTCAAGGCTAGCCTTGAACTGCTGATCTTCTGCCTCCACCTGTAGGTACACTATCACACCTCACTTTTCAATGTGTTTTCACCTTTATCTTAATCTTCTGTGGATAAGTAGCATGAATTTGAAGTATTATATTTTGGGTGATCTTTTTCTTCTGCTTAATCTTTAGAATATTACATAGTTCTTTCTGACTACAAAAGTAATGTATGGCTGTTGTACAAAATATATAAAAGCATGAACAAAAGCTAGTTCATTCTCACTACTTGCTTATCTAGTTTTGAGGCTTTCATTTAGTTTGTTGATAAAACTGAGGAAATACCCCAAGGGGAAGGGAATTTTCTCAATCCCAGCACTCAGGAGGCTGAGGCAGGCAGATCTTTGAGTTTGAGGCCAGTCTGGTCTACAAAGTGAATTCCAGGACAGGTAGAGCTACACTGAGAAACTGTCTCGAAAAGCCAAAAAAAAAAAAAGGATTGGGCTTTAGTCCCACCATTTTGTTGGTGTTTGGAGGTGGGGGTTATGTAACTAGCAGGCTTTGTGGGTTTCTTTTTTTTCTCTTCTATGCTTCTCCGCCCTTTTACTTCTCACTTTCAACCCCCTAACACTAGGTAGGAGAGAAAAAAAGGATAGAAGGGAAAAGGGTCATCATGTTGTTATCTCTAGACCACTTCCTGCTGATTGGAGGTGCCAAGCTCCTTGGGGCAGGTTTGTCTCAACCATCAGGACATCTAATTTCCTCTCGGTTCTTTGCACAGGACTGCTTAACAAACCACAACCAACAGCAACCAACAACAACCCCTACCATGGCTCTGGCTTTATACATATTCTGAAAAGTTCCCAGGATTCCAAACATTACTCACTCACAGAAACTATCTGCAGCTGGCAAAACCCTGCCTCTGCTAGAGCACGAGGCAAACCATAGTCAGGTGCTACAAAGCAGCCCCATGTTCCCATACCTTGGATTAAAACAAAAACACTTTTATAATATTTCTATGTTTTTTAAAGAAACTAAAATTTGGGCCTGGAGAGATGGCTCAGTGGTTAAGAGCACTATCTACTCTTCCGGAGGTCCTGAATTCAATTCCTAGCAACTACATGGTGGCTCTAAACTATTATACTGGGATCTGATGCCCTCTTCCTGCATGCATGTGACCTGCAGATAGAACACTCGTGTGTAAAATAAATAAATCTTTAAAACAAACAAACAAACAAAAAAACCCAAAATTCTCAGTACAGGGGTAAAAGGAGCAATAGTTCTTGAATGGAGTTGGGGAAGGAAAGAAAGGAAAAAGAAAAAAATTATTTTCCTTATGGGATGACAAAAGGAGATCGAAAAGCATCGGCCCCTGATAGTGTTGGATGAGGAAGAAGAGGGGTCGTTTGGAGCCTCCCTGTAGACAGCTGTGTGGCTTAGCTGTCCCCTGCCTCTGGTGCAATGAAATGAGGCTCCTGTGATGTTCCTTGCCCTGGGGGCTTTCCACCAACAATCTACGTAGAATCTGTGTACAGGGAAATGCATATGCACCTCTGTCTTTGGAACCATTTGAAACTTGTTCAGAAGCACATACTCAGCCATTGCTATGCAGACTAAATGTGAAATACATAAGAATCCTGGTTTTTGTTAGTCAGAAAATGTTACTGATATAAAGAATTGTGCATACTTTCATCCCATTTGCTATTTTGAGTACCAAATTTACTTGTGGTAATTTTGAAGGCTGCCTTGTTTTGAGTCATACAGACCTGTGACTAGTAAGCCTTTCCAGATAAGCCTTTGAAAGGACCAGGAGTAAGACTACATGCTGCTAGGGCTGGGGGTACGGCTCGGTGGCTAGAGTGCTTGTTTTCTGTGCATGAGACTCTAGGTGCTTGCCCAGCCCAGCACATACAAAGCCCTGAATTCAATTTCAGGAATCCAAAGGAAAAAGAAAAACATTTAGCCAGCTTGGTAGCTCACACCTGTGACATTAGCTTTCCGAGGGGCTGAGGCTATGAGCGTGACGTCAGTCTGGCTACATGAGAAGTTCCAGCCTAGGTTGTAAGCCCCGTCTCCAAATAATGATTTAATACCAATAATACAAAACAGCAACGCTAGGGCTAGAGAGACTCACAGGCAGCTGACAACTGCTTGTCGCTCCAGCTCTAGGGCTCAGACACCCTTTTCTGGCCTCTTTGAGCACTCACGCACACACATAGGAGCACACAAATAAAAATAAAAATCCAAAAATAATATAAGTAGGGTGATGGCTGCTGTGATGACAAAATGCTAGAGCCTCAGTGTAGACACTGGGGCAGAGGCCATGGAGACAGCCCAGTGTGACTTCGCCAGAAAAGAAAACATCCAGAGTGACAGCAAGTAGGGAAGCTGCATTACCCTCGACTTAAACTTCAGTCCTCATTGTCTGCACACAGAACTAAAATCTGTATGGATTAAAGTGTTAAGTAAAAATAATAAAAGTTAAGATGCAGTATTTGTGATCTAGGGTAAGAAACAAATGATGGGTAAAATTGATGACATAAAATTAGCTTGTAAAGAGACAAGACAAAAAGTGTTGGCGTGTGCTGCCTCCAGCCTACAGAAGCATTCATTTATTTTTGCGCGTGTGAGTGTTTGCTTGCATATATGTATGTATATGTGCCATGTGCATGCCCAGTGCCCAAGAAGGTCAGAAGAAGGTATTGGATTTCCTGCGACTGAAATTGTAGATGGTTGTGACATGGGTGCTGGGCATGGCCCGGGGTCTCTGCAAGGGCAACAGGCAGTCTTAAGCACTGAGCTCTCTCTCCAGCCCATCAGTTTTCACTGCCTCAGGAGGAAACCTACCTCTCCCCTTCAGCTGTTAGGGCACCATTCTGCAGCCCTCCCATTGCCTGGCAGCCCTCATCTACTTTCTGTTCCTGTTCTGTTGCCTCTTCTGTGTATTTCATGGGAGTGGAGTCACTTAACACGTGGGATTTTGAGTCTGTTTGAGTTGTTCCCCCAGTGTTTTCTCAGTGTTCCCAAGACTCCTATACATTGTAGCACATGTCAGTGGCCCCCCTGGATGGACCATGGTTCACTGCGTTTTGTTACCTGTTTCTCACAGGGCAGGCTCTTGGCTTGTTTGTATCCTTGACTGATTTTCATTACTTTAAAGATAACCTGCTAGAAGGAAGATCCCCACTCATGCCAGGCAAACACTGACCTACACCCCCAGACCTTGGGCAGATTGGTAAATCAGACTGTGTTTGCAAGACACCTTGGTCTTGTTAGGAAAGAGAGGTGGAAAAATGGGCTGACCACAGAGGAAAACCAAAGTGCTTTTCCGACAGTAACAACATCCTTCACTTATAAATACGAATATGTAAGTATGGACCACCAGAAATTTAAAGACATCAAAACTAAAACCACAGCTGTAAGGAACAAAGCAAGTACCTTGGGAAACATGGAGGAGGTGAAGACGGGAAGCTGTGGAAAACACTGGCCGACCATAGGTGTCCTCAGCATGTTCTGCCTCTGTGTCTGGAGCAGTTTGGGGTGGCTGGCTCTGAAAGCCTAATCTGGTTCAGGTGGGGTACCTGCCATCAGGAGAGCATTGGCTGGCTGTCGGTGCTAGCTCTGTGACCTTAGCGGTCACTGGTGGAGATTCTGTTGGTACACTGGGGTACTGGACCTGTTAATAACTTAGAAGAAAAGTCAATTGCTGACAAGTTAAATATGTGTACACTGGCTTATGAGGTACAAGCTGAAAGACCGTTTGTGGGAGTGCTGAGATGGTGTCAACTGTTTGTGTTGTAGCAGCTGAGCCAGTTCTGGTACAGTGAGGACACGGCCCTGCGACTTGCACAGGAAGCGATTGCTGCTGCAGGAGAAGGCGGCAGGTGAGGTTCAAGTTTGTTTCTTTTCCTCTTCCAGTTTCAGTTTGAGGAACACACGAAAACACAGTCATGTCACGTATGCACAGATGAATGTATAAATGAATTTTGAATGTCCTTCCTAAATAAGATGGTTTCTTGAAAGTCTGGCTCATAATATGTAAATATTGTCACTTGGGGAACTGGGATTAAAGGTGCACTTTCACCACTGCCTGGCAGTATTCAGAGTCTTGATGTGCAACTTTCCTTTGTCAAACTGGACCCTGGAAGCGCCCCAAAAGCCCACATTTGATTTGGGATGTTATTTTAAATTATTTCTCTGATTTCCCACATCACTACTGCTGTGTGTGCTTGGTTTGTATTCTTGTTCCTGTAACTTCTGATACTTGAGGATGGGACATGATTCTCTCATCTCCCCTCAAAGGCCCATCCCTAGTGACCACCTATGACCACCTACTAAGTATCCCCTCCCCTCCAGATAACATCCAGCTGGATACTAAGCTTTCAGCTCATGAGTCATGTCTCCTTCCTGTACACCCTCTGTTGATGCTGAAGTGATTTTTCCTGTTTATTCGATATTAGGTTTCTATTGGACTTCAGATGTTTACTGAGGCCCGCCTCTTCCTTCATATCCAAGAGTGGGTGAGACACTAAAAAGCTGAGAGAGCTGACCTAAGGGTGGACCTCATCTATTCACTCTGTTTGGCCTGTGCTGGGGAATAAGTTGAGGGTCATGAGCTCAGCTCCCAGCCCCTCCTTCTGCTGTGTTCTCTGTAGTGAGATCAGGATGAGCTATTTTTCAGGGACCCCTAGGTCTTTCCCAGTGTGGTGGTTGGAGGTCCAGGCAAGATTCTCCTCATTCCTGTTTGGAGGTTACACAGTATCTGGTGCCCGGAGGAAGAGTGGCTTCCAGTTGGTTCACCGTGCCTAATTTCTCTTCTTCTTCCTGCCACCGTGGTGCTAGAGCCCAGAGCCTTTCTTGGATGCCCTTCCACCAGCTGCATCCGGGCCCTCTAATTCCCACAGGGTACCGCTCTTGTCGCCTGTGTCAGGCATTTCCCTCCCAAGCGTCCCCCAAGCTACAGAACATCCCTCCAGGTTTCTCCAGTTACTTCAGGGAATGGGGACATGAAAGAGAATCCTGGGAACAAGCTGTTTCTTGAACAGATCTTTCAACAGCGAGTTTATAGCCCCACCTCCACTCCTAGGTCTCGAGTTTCCTGGTCTGCGTTACCCTGCGCCCTGGGATGCCGTGGCCTAAGTGAGGACTGCTCAGCTCCCTGGCTGCTAGCGCCAGGCCAACAGGAGCCAGCCACCACCCCTGCCTGCTCCTCAGCCTCCTGAGAGTAGCTGCTTTAGCCTCTTGTCCTGGTCCCTTTGGTCTCAGAAACATACATCCAAACAACAAAACAATGAAATTTTGCTTGTTTGCTTAACCTTGGTGGTAATACATCTGGACTGAGTGTGCTCCATACGTCTTCTTCAGCTGGAAGTCTTGTTTGTCTGTCTTTTGCTGTTTGTTTTTTTCTTAGCTTGTTGACTTTCAGCCACTGATAAATACTTGAGACAGTGGCTCATTCAGGAGGTTTTGGTCATGGTGGGTTGGCCTATGGGAAGCAGCACATTAAGGCAGAGGTGGCCAGGAAGCAAAGCAGGGAAGCGTGTTCCAGTGACCCCACTTCCTCTCATAGCCCCTTCTCAGGCCAGAGGCCAAGGCTTCAAACTGCGGATCTCTATAGGGCATTTGAGGTTGAAGCTATAACATTTGGTGATAGTATTTTCTTAGTTACGTTGGATTTTCCCATTAACTATTGGTTTTATCACTAGATATTAATCAGAAACAACTTTTTTTTAAAGAAGGTCTCACCTTTTGCCTCTCCCACCCCAAGTGCTTGGATTTTAGGTGTGTACCACCAAACCTGACAGCTTTCTTCCCGAAAGGTGAGGTCAGTGTCTGCAGGACACTGTAAAAGCGGCACACACTAAGGGCTGCTGACGCCTGCCCTCCCGTTGTCCTCACCAGCATCACTGCTGCGGCCACACCTCTGGGGCACTTACTATTATACTCTGCATTTTTTTAACTTGTAGTTTTTTGGGGTTTGTTTTTGGTTTGTTTTGTTTTTTGAGGGAGGCCCGTTGCCTCATGAACTTCATTAGTTCTCTGAGAACGCTGAGCAATGAATTTTGATTATATTTACTGCCTACTCCTCCCAGGTGGCGCCCTTCCCACCTGCCCACCGTAATTCCTTCTTTTTTTTTTTTTTCTTTTCTTTTCGGGCCAGTGGTTTTTTGAGACAAGGTTTCTCTGTGTAGCCTTGGCTGTCCTGGATTCACTCAGGCTGACCTCAAACTCACAGAGATCCTCCTGCCTCTGCCTCCCCGAGTGCTGGGATTCCAGGTGTGGGCCACCTTGCCTGGCCTTTTCTTTTTTAACCCATCAGGTACAGTCTGTATGGACTACGGCCTTCACTGGAGTGTGATCAACCACCAGGGGCTGTAGCCTTAAAGAAGCTACTGTCCCTTTGCCAGCAGGGTCTGCTGCCAGAAGCTCCTTATCTGGGGGTGGTACTTGGTGTCCACCTCTCCTCTCTGTGCTGTAGTTTTGTCTGACTGAGCTTACACAGGTCTTCTGTTACTACTGTTTTGACACAGCATCTCACTGTGGAGCTCTGGCTGTCCTGAAATGCAATATGTAGACCAGGCTGGCTTTGAAATCACAGAGGTATGAGCCACCACACTCAGCTCCCTGCACAATTCTTGAGCGTGCTGTCTCAAATGCTGTGAATTTGTGTGTTTAAGTGCCGTCTTCACTCAGACAACGCTGCTTTCTTGTAGTCATCCACCACCCATGACTCCTACATTCTTTCAGCCTCTTCCTCCCCTCTCCCCAGGGAATCCCAGAGCCTTGGGAGAAGGGAGTATGATATGGATCTGTCCAGTTAGGGTTTATCCTCTACATATTAAAGTTGCCACTGAGGCCACAGGGTGTCACCTGTGTGAGGTCAGCCTGCAAGGCATGGCCAAGCAGGTATTTGCACACAGTCCCTCTGGTTCCACTGCCTGCAGACCCTCATGCCAGCCATCTCTTCCTTGCTCTCTTCTCTCATTTCTTCCATTGTTACTTGTTGTTGTTGCTGCTGTTGTTTGAGACAAAGCCTCATGATGTAGCACTGGTCAGAACTGACCGGCCTTGAACTCCCAGCCTGATGACCTCCTGCCTCAGCTTCCTGAGTGCCAGGATGTCACGGATACACCATCTCAGCCAGCCCTTACTCCTCACAGTGTTACCATGCCCTGCCTGAAGTATTTAGAACTTCTAGAACCTTTAGAACTTTTCAGGTGTGATCTGCTGGGAGCCAGGCCTTCAAGTAAAACATCGTTATTTTCTTCTCTTCCTTAAGCCCCTCTGTGAGCATCTGGTCCTCGGCTGCTGTTATCCTCACTGAACAGTGGCACTCTCTCCTGCCCCGAGGTGCCTTCTGCTTTTTTGTACTGTACACGGGGCTCCTGTCCTCCCCTGGACACAGTGTGTAACACAGGGGTTACTGTCTGCTGCAGGAGGGCTTGGCCGGCAAAGCCCTCACAGCCTCTGCAAGAAGCGTGTCTGGTTGGAGAGATGGGTGTGAGTTCAGAGCACTCACTGCCCCCGCAGAGGCCCTGCATTAGCTTTTTGGCACTTACATGGCGGCTCACAACTACCTGTAACTCCATTTCCAACGGATCTGAGTCTTATGGCCTCTGAAGATCATGAATGCATGTGTGTACATACATGCATGTACACACACCCAAACACACACATACATAACAAATAAAACAAGAGGTTGGAGAGATGCCCCATGGTTAACTTAAGAGCGCTGGCTGCTCTTCCTGAGGACCTGGGTTCAGCCTACCCCCCACATGGAGGCTCATAACTGTAATTCCTGTTGTAGAGGAGCCATGCCTTCTTCTGGGCACCACGTGTACATGTGGGACACAGACATGTGTGCAAGCAAAACACTCATACACATAAAGTGAAAATATCTTAAGTTTTTAGAAAGAAAAAGAAAGAAAAAAATCTCACATTCTAGAAGCTTAAATGTAAAATTAACTCCTTTTCAAGACATACTTGTTTCTGTATGTGTTTCTATATGATGTGTGTATACGCTTGGGAGGGTACAAGCGTGCCACAGCATACATGTGGAGGTCAGGGCATAGCCTTGGGTGCCCATCTCACCTTCTTTACATGGGTTCCAGGCATGAAAAATAAGGTCATCAGGCTTTCCCAGCAAATGCTTTACCTGTCTCTCTGGGCCATAAGTCTTTTAAACGTGGCAGTGCATGCACATAACACAATCCAGAAGCCAGAAAGGGCACAGAGAGAAAAGGCTGGGAAGTCCAGCCTCTCTTCCCTGTAGTCTCCAGGGCCAGTCCTCCCCCAGAAGTCACAGAGGGCTCTGTGCCCGTGAGAGCAGGACTGGAGCCCTACCTGCAGCCCCAACACTCAGGAGGCCCGGGCAGGGGATCAGAAGTTCAGCATGACCACAGCTGCCCATCAAGTTTGAGACCAGTCTAGGACACATGAGGTGCCGTCTCAGACAGACAAACCAACCAAAAAGCCCACAAAGACTTAGATTGGGCTAGGGTTCAACATGAAATAATAGGTGACCTCAGGCTTTGGGTTAACTCTATCTGACTTTGATCACAATGTGTCTCTGATACGTTTTAATACTTTCCCATAAACTTAAGTATATACTTTCATGCCTCAAAATGATGAATTCCATGTTTTGGGTTTGGTTTGTGTGTGTTATTTTGTTTGTTTGTTTCTCTGTATAGCCCCGGCTGTCCTAGAACTCTGCAAACCAGGCTGGGATTAAAGCGTGTGCCACTATGCTTGGCTGCAGTCAGACATTCTAAATATCAGGCCCCTCAGAAATGAAGGCTGTAAACTTTTTTAAAACATTGCTGACATTTACTTACACTGTTACTTCCTTTAAGAAAATGTGAGCTTAGCTTGTTAAGGAAGATGTTGGTTTCTGTATTAGCAAGAAAGGTGTCTTTAGAGTTCCTCTCATTGGGCAGAGCTGGAGAGTTTATAAGCCTACATTTTATTTTCAGAGTTTTTCTTTAGACCGAAGGAACTGGGCTAAAAACATGGGAGCTCTCAGTGTTCAGCTGCATTCTGTTGTTAGTGGCTTGTATACTTTGTACAGGTTTCTAGTGATTCTCTTCTTGTGTGTTATCTTTGTTGATCTCACCAAGAGAAGTTGAAGTTTGAGCATGTGTAGTAAATGCTGTTTACAAATACTGAGATTTAGAAGACGACTAGAGATCTTTGGTGTAATTTTGTCTAATATGAAACATAGTCACTGTACTTGACGGCCTAGTAATTGTGTGAATTGACAGGAACAGCCTGCAGACTGAACAGGGCAGCCGACACCAAACCTCACACACCAGGAACTGCGTGGCTTAAGGTGCTGAGGCTTCAGGAGACCAACTGGAGCCTTATGCATGATGTCTTCAGAGAAACTAACCTTAGCCCATCATGAGATGTCCCTTTTAGGGAATGAGCATGTGCCATGTGAGATGCTGTGAAAAGGGATCAGGTGCAGCAGTCATAATTACATACAGTGAAGTGAGTCCTAGACTTCACGTGGCTGCAAATGCAGTGGATGGTGGGGCAGCATGTAGAGCACTGGATGGGCCTGCGTGGCCTGTGTGTGGGAGTGTGGGTGCTGTGTTCACTAAGGGGATAAGGGATCTTCTTGTAAGCTTTAAGTGGAACCAAATTAAAATACTTTTTTTTTCTAGAATCAGAAAAAACAAAATCTGAGCACAGAGACTTTTTAAAAGTTTTTATTTGCACCATTTGTGATCTCAAGTCATGCACTCATTTCCAGAATCGCGTGTGTGAGCTCGCCCAGTGTGTACCAGAAGCTCCGGGAGCTGTGCAGGCAGCACATCTCTGCACACATCTTTGAATACGACAGACGGTTCGCCATATATGGGGAGGAGTTCATCTTCTATGATTACAATCGTCCACTGGACTTGCCTGGAAGAATCGCTGCGCATAGTTTTGATATTGTAGTTGCAGATCCTCCTTACCTGTCTGAGGAATGTCTCAGGAAGACATCCGAAACGATCCGGTTCCTGACTCGGGGCAAGATTCTGCTGTGCACGGGTGGGTGCACCCTCACACCCTGAGCCTGGGTCAGGGGCCGGCTTTAAGAGTGTGCAGAGACCTTGGACCTGCACCCTGAATCTGCCACTCACTGCGTGACCCTGACCAAGTCATGTGACCTCTCTGTGCCCAGAGGGCCATTACAAATTGAGTGATGTGGTCCACGTGAAGTGTTTACCATGGCCTGACCTATACACATGGATACACGGTAGCTATTCATTTTTGCATAGCCACTACCATATGGGCATATACATACACACTCATAGCACATCCATGTATCACACAACACATACTTCCACACAAAAAATGTAGGCAGTTTACAAACATGTCAGAGGAAGTAAAGGAATATAAAGACTGTATTCTGTGTCCAGTGGGACTGTCCCTCCCTGCATGTGCCAGTTATGTGGGAGTCTTCTCTAGGGTCCACTCAGAGCTCAGATCAGCCACACTTAGGCTTTCATGTCTTAGCTCACTTGGTCTGTTCTTCACAGGAGCCATCATGGAAGAGCAGGCAGCCCGGCTCCTAGGTGTGAAGATGTGCAAGTTTATTCCAGAACACTCTCGAAACCTGGCCAATGAGTTCCGCTGTTACGTGAACTATGATTCTGGGCTGGACTGTGAAACCTGAATTCACATGGCATCATGTTATAATAAAAGGACTCCAGGTGACATGTCCATTTCCTGCTTTATTCTCTTTCTGTTGACACATTGTGACCTCCCTCTCTCTGCCCTGGACTGGGACTCTATTGGCTTTGGTTTTTCAAGACAGGGCTTCTCTGTGTCCTGGATTCACAGTGTAGACCAGGCTGGCCTCAAACTCATAGAGATGCTCTTGCCTCTGCCTCCCAGAGCACTGGGACTATAGGACTGCACCACTGCGTCCTGCTCTTGGCTTAATTTTCAAAATAAAATAAAACTTATCTTTGCTGTTTCTGTTACAAGCTTGGGCTGCTTGTAGCGACCCTGGCCCAAGGACTCAGAGTGGAGAGACATGTTAGAAGCTGTCCAGTTGTTCAACATCTGTAAAAACAGAACGCGCAGCCTTTCCTGCGTAGTCACTGGAGTGTCCTGGCAGCTACTCAGAGACCTGGCCTGCCTCTGGGAAGTAGGTTGATCCAAGCGACCAGAGCTCCAGCTCCTCCTGTGCTCCACCTCCCCTCAGCTCTGAGATGAATGTGGCTGCTAACCCAGCATGTGGTTCAGCTCAGCAGCTCCCTCCAGACTGAGAAAGCGATGAGTACCAAGCCAGACTCCAGAGCTGGAGGTGTGGGATCCTTGCTGTTAAAGCTATTTCCATCCGTCCATCCTCCAGAAGATACACAGCAACCAAGGTACAGCTGTCTGGGACAAGGTGGTGCCTGTGTCGGTAATCCCAGCAGTAGGGAGGTTGAGGCAGGAGGAGTGTAAGCTTGAGCTGGCCCGGGTCACATAGCAAGTCTCCAAACAAACCATGGCTATGTAGAGCTTGGAGAGCCCTGAAGGGACATCACGCTTGGTGGGAAACCACCTTCCGTACAATTCCCATCAGTGTTTGCCAATGGAGAACAGGATAGCAATGCCAGGGATCAGGACTGGGCATGGCAAAGAAGGCCAAGAATGGCCACAAAGGGGCATTCTCTGTGGCCCTGGGATGTTCTGTCCTTTGCTGTGGCGGCAGTTTCACAGATCTGCTGTGATCATGTCACATGGTGCACGTGGATCTGGCTGATGCCAATGGCATCAAGGATAGAGTCAGTGCCATTCTCCAGGCTGTGACATCACACTATAGTTACCCAACATGCTACTTTCAGGGTGCCAGGTCTCAGGCCCTCCACATGTTTAGATATGAGCTCTAGCTGGACTTCGGAAGGATTTCTGATGGTTAGATAAAAGCCAGTGTTCCTCAGGAGCTCGTGAAACCAGCTTTCTATCTCCCAAAGGAGTCCCTCGCCCCAGCTAGTCTTTATAGCCACGTGATCTGTCCACCCAAGCGCTCTCGATGTCTCATTACTCTCACTACTTCCTGTTCTCTGCTCTCATGTTCTCTCACTATGCCCTGTCTCTTGCTATGTCCATTATCCTCTCCCCCTGCCCTGGCCATGTCCAATCTGGTTTCCTTTCTCTGCTCTGGACTCTCCCAGATGCCCCTGGATAGATGCTATCTCTTGCCCACAATAAAAACCTTTCCCCTAATGGAGTCATCATGTTGGCAGTTGCTGTACTGCACGCTTCATGGGAAACGTCAGAGGTACACAAGGTGGTTTGGTAATTTTTGAGACCTACAATCTGTCAAAATCGAAAAAAAAAAAAAAAATTAACACCCGGCTCTGGGAAAGGATGCCTTGCTTTGGCCAACACATGTCACACATCCCCACCTCCCCACTGACCTGATTCTCCAGGCAGAAGCTGCTCTATCAGCTAGCCCTGGGTGGGGCTGCCATTGACCTGCAGGAGAGGAGAAATGATCCCGGCTGTTAGACACCTGTGCTGGCTAGTTTTGCCCGTGAGGTTTCAGGAATCACTCAGTCTGAGAATTTTTCATAAAAGGGTAGCATGAGCATTGAAATGAACGAAAAAACGAGGCCACTGACAAGGGGCCATAGCCGCAACTCACGATGCAAAGCCTGATTCAAGTGTATGCTGGCTAGTGTTTTGTCAGCTTCCATAAGCTGCAGTCATCAGAAGGGGCTTCAACTGAGAAAATGCCTCTATGAGATCAGGCTGGGCCGGGCGGTGGTGGCATGTGCCTTTCATCCCAGCATTTGGGAAGCAGAGGCAGGCGGATTTCTGAGTTCCGGCCTGGTCTCCAAAGTGAGTCCTGGACAGCCAAGGCTACACAGAGAAACCATGTCTCAAATAAACAAAAACAAAGAACGAAAGCAAGCCTCTTGGGCATTTTCTTAATTAGTGACTGATGGAGGAGGGCCCAGCCCATTGTGGGCTCATGGCCCTGGTTTCTATAAGAAAGCAGGCTGAGCAAGCCAGTAAGCACACCCCTCCATGGCCTCTGCATGAGCTCCTGCCTCCAGGTTCCCGCCCTGCTTGACCTCCTTTCTTGTCCTGACTTCCTTCAATAATGAAGAGCGATGGGCAATGCAAGCCAAATAAACCCTCTCCTTCCCAGTTTCCCCTGGGCCGTGGTGTCTCCCCGCAGCTACGGTGACCCTAGCTAAGACGATGGGCTTGCCTCTGCAGCAGACGCCTGTCCCAGCTAATCCAGAGGCAGAGCCCTGGCGCGTGGGGGTCTGTGCTCAAGACCAGGGGAATCTGTTACCGCTCCTCAGACGTTGGCCGTCCTGTTCCCAAACAGCATCACTTTAAAAGAGTGCTGTCTTTAGAGGCATCTGGCACATGTTGTATGTTCTTTAAACAACAGTTCCTGTGTTATTGTTTCCATATGAACCAATTTGCTACAAAGACATTAAATGACAAATTATGTGTAGAAATGAAATGTCCAATTGAGGAATTGTACACAGTGGAGAAATCAGAAACTGCGTTGTCCTGTAAGCTAGTGTTTTCATCCAAGAGGCTGTGCAACTGTTCTAGGAAAGAGAGGCAGGGTACAACTTGGCTCATCAAAAGTGTCAGGCCTACAGAGCCAGGTCACGAACTGCTCCCCCCCCCCCCCCCCGCGCCCTCAGTGCCTGAGTTTGAGCAGGGGCCTCAAGAATGCAAGGCAAGCACTCTAGCAGCTGAGCTTAGCCCTCAGGCTTGTTTAAGAAGCAGGCAACATGCTTCATGGCCTTTGGACCCTTGATGCTCTTCAGCAGTGGTAAATCTGTTCATCTGTGAGCCGTTTCTGAACCTCATCAAGACCTCAGCTGTTTCGGCAGCTCTCAGAACACCGGTGGGGTGCATTTCCTTTGGTCCTTTATGCAGATCAACTTGGCCTCTTGCACTTTTTATGTGGTTTGAACATTAAGTGCCCCCCCCCCATACACACAGGCTCATGTGTCATTTTCAATTGAACAAGTTCTAGACCAGCCTGGGCTACAGACATGAAAACAAACAAATAAAAAGGTCACCAATCATTGCAGAAGCCCCGGGGGTCCCTGTGCTCACAGCTAAGCACTGGGGAACCAGGAACGTTAGCCACGCAGGGTTGTTCCATTCAAAGGAAAGGCCGCATAACCCGGAAGGCTGGGGCAGATGTGGTTAATGATCTTGGCACTTCCTGTGTGATCCTTGTTTTTCTCGCTCTGTAGACCCCATCTTTATATACTTAGAGCTGCGATGTAGTCTCATCAGATCGTTATTTAGCTTTCCTTGTGCTTTACCGTACACACGGGACTGAGTCAGTTATCACCAGGAAAGTTTGTCCTTAAACTACTCCAAACAAGTTCACCTAAGCAAAATCGGATGGTTACACTGGAGCACAGCCAGTGTAACCAGCTACCATGGCTTTAGTGATTTAAAAAGAACTTTTACAAATTCGCTCAGGGGCAGACTTCCCAGCTAATCGGGAGGAAGCTCACAGTTTAACACCTGAGACTCTGGAGACAGGGCCCTTCCTCTTCCTCCTCCAACTCAGGGTTGGCTTGATCCAAAAGCCAGTAAAACTAAGCCTTATGTGAGCTCCCTGAGAACTAAGATGTCATATTCCACCCCTTGCCACAAACTGAGACCAGCGGCTTTCAAAATCGAAAGAACAGCACCAAAAAGTTTAATTGCCATAAAGCTGAGACCATCCATATGCTGAAGAACAAGAGCGAGTTTGGTTTCTGGAACCTGGAGGCGCCTCACATCCTCCTCTCCCTGGACCAGGGAAAGGCTGTGCACAGACCCGGAGCGTCCATTTCACCTCGTTAGCCTCCGCAAGAGGCTGAACTCGGCTGCCCGGCGCAGGTAAAAGAAGTTCATCTGAACACCACAATTATACACTCAAGAATCCTATTAGAGGACATCGGAATGTTTATGGTTTGCTTGTAATATCAAAATATATTTTTAAAAAAATAACATGCTCGCTCTAAATTGCTAATATGAAAACAGTTCCTGCTACTATTCAAAATAGTCATAGGCATGTAGTGTCTACTTTGAAAAATAAAAATCTATTGAAAGCTTATGTCCCTTTGGAAAGAGCGGGCAGCCGCGGGAAGGCTGGGGGTACAGGGGACTGGCTGCGCGCAGGAGCTGGGCCCGCAGACAGGGCAGGCCTCAGCGCCCCGCCGGCCGGTCGGCGGGCCCCAGCAGCAGCCTGGCTCCCGGCTTGTCCAGGCTGGAGTTAGCGCCGTCCGCGGCCTTGTCCGGCTCGGGCACGCAGGTGCAGCCCACCGGGATGGTGACGTAGTGTTCGGCGTACACGGAGCGGCCCCCCGCGCAGGCGGCCGTGCGGCGCAGCACCACGGCCGGGGAGTACACAGGCGCACTGCGAAAGCGGAAGTCCTCCTCTCCGAAGAGTCCCGTCAGGCAGCCGCGGCACAGGCAGTAGGCCTCCGGCAGGTACCTTGGAAAGCGAGCAGGGTCGTAGGAAATTCTGCGGACAGAGTGAGAGAGTGAGGGCCACGGCAGGGGCATCATCCCTAGTTCAAGGCCACCTTGGGCCAAATGAGGATGGTCTGAGCAAGGCTGGGCCTGACGTAACCAGCAGTTAGCGTCTAAGTCGGGCCTACCCGAACAATTACTCCACAGGGCTAAGATTGCTCCACCCTGGCGCTTGACCTCTGTCATATTTCAGACACGGAAGGCAGCATGGGCCACTATCCCCGAGTGCCTATAAAACTACCCTTTGTCAAGGTCACGGCACCACGGGCAGGTGACCTCTGTATCAAGACAGGCCATCCTGCCCTCCCAGGCTGCTGGGTCAGCCCCGAGGAACCATCTCTGTCAACCCAACTCCCAAGCCTGCCAGGTTCTGCAGCTCTAGCTGTGGTCCCTTCTAGGAGGCAGGCAGGTACCAGTTCCTGCAGATGGCCACTCTGTGCAAAAGGCCGTCCAGTGGCCCTATCCTGGTGTGTGCTCTCCAAAGGTGCTAAAGCAGCAGCAGCGGACAGGAGGGCTGGCTGGCCAGGGAGATTTGAAAAGTGAAAATACTGGTTTAAATTCCATCACTCTGATTTTTCTCCATGTCTTCCAATTCAGCTGCCTAATGTAAACATCTCCAGGATAGCCTGTGGCCAGATCCCGGGAGAGGCCACAGGTCAGCTACAGGTGGCTCACCTGGAGACAGACATCCTGGGACAGAGCCTGCTTGCACAGCAGCCACCTACACAGCTGCAGAAGCCCCTTCCTGACTGTCCCCCTGCAGAGGGCAGCATTGTCCCCATTGCTCATGAGACTTCTGTGTACCTGAAGTCATGTCCATTAGTCTATGCATCTAGAACACAGGTAATCCCTATGGGTCTGTGCGTTCCTCTGGGCTCTAGAGACTCTTGAATCCATCATCATCGCCTTAACCTTAACATTGCTAACATGTCCAGCAGCAGACACATCTGAAGACCCATGTGCCAGCAGAGGAAGTGCCACAGGGCAGCCTCTGAATCTAGTGAAGATAACGAAAGCAAGATGGAAAGGGGACAGGCTTGGCTCTCTTTCTGTTCTAGACCTTGAGGGGGGTGGAGGGGCCACTGGCTGTAATGCAACTAAACCTTGGCCACCCAAGGGCATGCTTCCTCCCTGGTCCTTAATACTTAGGAGTACACTTGCCAACAAAAAGACCTCCCTCTGCACTCAGTGCACTCATGCCAAGGAGGGAACTGGCCTGTAGAAAGACTGTCCTGGAAATGATGGTGCTGTCCTGGAAAGTGGGGTCTGGGGGCCAGGAAGGCCTCCTGAGCACGGAACCTTTCAACTCCCTTCTCATACTGTTCCAGGGAGCAGAGAAATGGCTGGGTGAAAGCATATGTTAGGGTGGAGAGATAAAGGCAGACATATCCAAGCAGACAAACACACACTGCCACCTGTACCTCCCTCCAGCACAGGGTGGAAATCTACTTTAAAGGTTTGTTGCTACTGTTTGCTCAAGTTCCACCATCAGGAGTTTGGGGGCAGAGTGAACCTGGCACACCCTTGCCGGGACCCATCTGTTTACTGACGTTCCTAAATAGCTGGGATGCGTAATGTCTCTGATCATCTCCAGTGTTTATCCAGCTCATATCTGAGTTCTATTTCAGGCGGTTGGAATTCAGGCAGAACACCTCTGTACCATCCAAAGACGCACACAAAGAAACAGCTGGACTGCCTGGCCCAGATCAAGGGGGTAGAAGGGCATTTGGAGGAGCGGTCAAAGTCAGAGTTGAGATGCGTGTCACAGTAGGAAAGCACAGGGTGAGAGGTGCAGAATGGAGAGTGATGCCTGTGTCAAGAGCGTGGATCAGACCGTGACAGGTTCAGGGAGTGAGGCGACCCACTGACACTTCAGAAGGTTCCCCCCAACTTTGTGGTAGAAGCATGTCTGCGACAAAGAGGAAGATCTTGGGGTTTGAATCTGGGGATATGGTTCGTAGTTAGATGAGAGTTCATGGGGGTGTATGGAAGGGGAGCGGGCAAAGCAGGAAGCACAGTCTGCACATAGAGACTGGATCCCAGGCCAAGACAAAGCAGAGCCTGTGAGCAGGCTGCTCAAAAACTCCAATGGGGGCAGAGCCAGCCCGTCAGACATGCTGATACAGATGTCTCGGCCACGCGCTATAGCTGTAACTTCCTGCTGGAGACCAGACAGAGGTTTGCGTGGGGAGGGTGGCACATCCCGTCCCCGAGAGGGAGAGGCAAGCAGATCAGAGCAGACTGCATGGCCTGCCTGACCACTCTCCAGAAGAGGGCTGTGTTCAGCATTCAGCTCAGTTGATTCTGGAGTCTGGGAAGCTCAAGAACATGCCTTCCTGAATGGTGGGGCATGTCAGGCGGTGAGACAGCTCACTCACTCCAGCTCAGATCTCCATCACGATAAGGCCATTCATGCCAGCATAGGGGTGCCATGACCTAACCACTTCCCAAGAGCCTACCCAGCTGTCCTGGAACTCACTCTGTAGAGCAGGTTGGCCTTGAACTCAGGGAGCGTCTGCCTCCCAAGTGGTGGGATTAAAGGCATGTGCTGCCGCCACAGCCACTCGGCTTGTTTTGTTTTTTGAGACAAGGTTTCACTGTGTAGCTCTGGCCGTAGGGGAACTTGCTATGTAGACCAGACTGGCCTCCAACGCAAAGAAATCTGCCTCTCTGCCCAACTTGAGTGCTGGGATTGAAGTTGTGTGCCATCATACCTAAGCTTGAAATTATTTTAAAATGAAGAGCCAAAGGAGAAAAAAAAAATGGTTTTTTAAATTTCCCTGATGGGAGAGCGAAGCCTGACTGAACACTGAGGGTGTTGGAGCGAGAGAGCCATGCTCCTCCTGGCAGCAGCCTCACCTCTGTGGTTTGCACAGTAACGGACACTGATGATGACCCCGGGTACTCCAGTGAGCCAGGTAAGGGTGTGACACCTGCTTCTGCAGGCCTGCAGACAGGCTGGACCCTGGGCTCCAGGCGCTGAGTCACAGCCAGCTCCAGTGGAGGGTCTGGGAGAATGCCACAGGGGCTTCTCCAAGCAGAGGCCAAGGACGCTGCAGAGTGTAGCGACACACACCCGGACCCCAGAAGAGACGATTGTTGTCAAAGGTCACAGTGGCTGAGTGCTGAGTGTGCGCGTTCTCACACGGGCGTAGGAGTGTGTGCACGAGCATGTGTAGGACAGAATGAGTGTGTGAGCATGTGTGTGTGAACAGAAGCACCGGTCGAGGCTGGGTGGGAGATACGAGAGCAGCTGTGAGAATGTAAGCATGCTCCAGAGGACGTGTGTGTAGACGTGAGGCTGTGGGAGCATGTGTGGCACACGGATGGGCATGAGCACGTCTGAATGTGTGCCCATGTGAGATGAGAATGTATGTATGTATGTGTTGGTCTGTGAGCGAGAACATAAGAGCATGTGTACTCATGTATATGGTGGCAGGCTAGGGTACAGGTGTAACAGCTCTGAGGGGAGTAAAGGAATTTGATCCCGAAGCTCCCTAGATGGGAAGAGAAGACAGGCCGACCAGCACCCAGTGAGAACCCAAGGGAACTCTGGGAAGGCCTACACGAGGTGCTTCTGTTCAGCATATCTGCTTGCCCTGAGACCATCACCAACCTCTTTCGATCAATGCCAGCCAACATCCCGGTGTCCTTCGGGAACAGCCGGCACTCAGGTGTCGCTCTGGTTAGCTATGTAGGTGAAGCTATTCCTGCTTGGGTGCCTGATAGCCAAAGGCTCATCCCACTAAAAATATCCATCCTGGCACTCCAGCTCGTCCCCAGGCCAAACCTTAACTTTAAACCCTTCGGATTAAGGCCAGTGACAATTCCCCACCCCACCCCCACCTGCCACCTGGGACAGAATGAAGGAATGAACATGGGTGTTTTGTTTCTTTGAGACCTGGCTTGTTCCTTCGCACAGGAAGGTGCTCAGCACAGAGAGCAGATGAGCCGTCCATGGTAGTGGTCCTCACTCAGGGGCCAGCACCACAGAAAGGCAAGTACCTCCCCCACCCCCGCCACCAAGTGTGCAGACACCAAGCTTCCTGCCAAGTCAGGAGAATCACCAAGAAACAGCAAGCAAAGCCACCATTGGGACCCTTTCTCTTCCCAAACATGGACATGTAGCCCAGCAGAAACCCAGCCTGGCCTCGGAGGCCAGTCCCCTGCTGTCTCCACATTCACTGAATGCTGCTCTGTGCAAACTTGGCCCAGGCCCTGCTTGAAACACATCAAGTTTTCCCCACTGACGAGCCTGAGGATCAACCCTGGGTGAGTGTGAAGTTGGCCCGGGTGAGTGGCAGCTGGCGGGGCTTAATCCAAGAACAAAGGACAAGTCCTCCAGAGCTGATTAGAGGCGATGGAAGCTGAGCTCTTGGAGGACCGACCGTAAGTGACAGCAGAGACAGAAAAAGAACACTGACCCTGCGGCCTGGGCACGGTAGCAAACCATTCTAAGCTGCCCGAGGTGGGACTCAGAGAACAATGAGCACGTTCCCAGCAGGAATCTGCCACCTGATGTGTGCCTGTGAGGGCCAAGTGCAGCTGCCATTGGCTCAGTCTCCCACTTCACAAACATTTCCATCTCTCAGCAGCAGAGCCCAAGCACGGCTGATTCTCTCCGGGCGACCCAGAGATCTCCATGCCAAGCTAGGCACCAAGCTAGGGGGTCCTGACCCGAAGTCCAGGGCACCCATGAGTAAGCGGGGACGAAATGGCCTCAGTGGGCTGAAATCGTCAACACTGAGGGCCAGTGAAATGAGTTCAACCCAGCCCATTTTCTAGATTTTCTAGAAAGGCAGGAAACTGTCCTATATCAGTCCTGGGAAGAAAATGTTGGTCTAGTCTAGTCAATGACCAGTGACCCAGAGCGATTCATTGCTGCTGCTGGTTGAGGGGCTGCTCTGACAGGAAGGCTACCTCTCAGGCTTCCTGAAGGCCCTTGGACCCAGGCCTTGAGTCTCCATGGTCTTGGAAAATTCCCTCAAGTAA